TTGTTTACCGAGCCCGGAAATTTAGATACGATCCGGGTAAACTTATCAATCCTTTAAATAAACTTATTCTGAAAGCGTGGTTACCAATTCAAAGTAATTAGATCTTTGAATATTTTTTTTATTGGCATACATATCGATTTTGTTATCAGTAAATTAAAACCATACCATATATTATTTTCATACACATATGCACTTTCGCGGTGATACCTATATTTTGGCATTGCACAAGGTCATGTTTTTCTCTGACTGTTAATGATGTCTTTACACTAAATCCGTTGGGTGCTGGATGTGTACTGATTGATATTTTAGTCTTAAATACATGATATTTTTAATTAGTTGTTATCGGCTTTGAACTATATGTCAGTAACTACGAGTACTCTCGGATCTGTACTTTGTGTCTTTTTACATCGGATGTGACCTTGAGAGGTCATACCGGTGTTATGTTGCCGCAGAAATTTCCTTGCCGTTTGACTGATAACCGAACGTATTTCGTATAATTACGCGGATATTATCGAGTGCAAAATAACATTCCTTATCGATTGTCATATATTAATTTCATCAATAAGTATTCATGAAAATAATTTTTAAGAACATAGATAAATGTATGAAAATGTTTTGTCGTGAGAAATATATATATCAATAACAAATCATGGATAACGAAAATTTGTGTTAACGCATGCAGAAGAATATCTCGTGAACGTTTTGCAACAAAAGCGGGAAAATATGAATGCCTACTCAAATCCAATCCATTAGAAAAACGAATTATTACAGAAGAGTGTCCACCATGCACTTGCACTGCACTATCATTAAAATAGTAGAATAGAATGATATATAAATGGAAGAAAATTTGCCTGTAGAGTTATTAAGATGATCTGCTATATATATAACTGGTATACAAATATTAATATAATATATAACAATAAACCAGAGTATACTAATAACAAATGATTATATCACTACAATATAATAATTATTACGGTGAGATTGAATTCCCTGTCATTTATTCATCATCCTCACAGGAACTTGTCTCAGAAAAAATATATCTATGTTCCTTAACCTAACTTTCAGGTATAGAGATGTGATTTTTTTCTGAGACAAGTGCTTGTGACCATCCACCAGAACTTGCGGTCATCCGATGTTCAGTACTTAAGTACCTTGATTTTATGTTAGGGATGTATAAATACCCTGCAACGTCCGGTCTGTGTTTTTGTTAGATGTTTTTCTGCTTTGTATCGATCTGATGAGTTAAGCCCTTTTCAAATGAATTTTATAGTTTGTTCTTATGTTGTGCTGCAACCCACTGTCCCAGGTTAGGGGAGGGTTGAGCGCTCTAAAACATGTTTAATCCCGCCACATTCTGTATGTGCTTGTCCCACATTGATTGTCGTTGTTTCATGTCTGTCGCATTTGTTTTTCGTAAATTGTTTTGTTGTCTCATTGGCAATCATACCACATCTCCTTACTTTGTTTTATTCTGATTAAAATGTCTCAATTAAAGCCGGCAAAATAGCATGTTTCTATAGCAATGGCTATTTTGCCGGTGCCGGCTATACAGTTATTTAATTATTTTGCCGGTTCTTTATAAAGAGTGAATTTTAATATTTACTTTTGAAAAGTACTACGAAAATGTGCATTGTCATTGCAACATAAAAGAATATAATAATTACTCATATAGATTTAAAAATAAGAATTATAGTAACAATATTTGAGATACATATAATCGTTTAAAAACATTTATGAAAATAAGGAGATGTGGCATGATTGCCAATCCGACAACTATCCACCAAAGTTAAAATGAAGTGGATGTAAGCAATTATAGGCAACCGTACGGCTTTCAACAATGAGAAAAACCCATACCGTATAGTCGGCTATAAAAGGCGCTCGACATGAAAATATGAAACAAATCAATTGAGAAAACTAACGGCCTAATTTATAACAAAACAATTTACGATAAACAAATATGACAGACATGCATGAACCATCGACAACCGCTGAAATACAGGCTCCTGACTTGGGACAGGCACATACAGAATGTGGCGGGGTTAAACAGGTTAAACATGTTTGTGAGCGCTCAACCCTCCCCCTAACCTGTGACAGTGGTGTAACAGCACAACAAAAGAACAAACTATAAAAGTCAGTGGAAAAAGGCTCATCTTATCAGATCGAAACAAAGAAAAACATCAAACAAAAATACTGACAGGACTTGGCAGGGTATATATCTATCCCTCATCCCTACCAACAAAAAGACACTAAGTACAGATCTGAGATAGTACCGTGAAAGTACATATGTGTAATATTTAATATGGTTTTGATTTAATGATAACAAAATCAATATTTATACCAATAAAACAATATTCAAAGATTTAATTACAGTGTTAAATAGGTAACCTTTTAGAATAAGTTTATTTAAAGGATTGATAAGTTTACCCGTATCTAAATTTCCGAGCATGAGTCGAGGTGAAAATAAGAATTTTTAAAAAGAAATAAAAATTCAAATATTGAGTATCCATTTGTAGCAATGAAATCATATCAAAACATGTAATTGAAATTACTTCTAAAATCTGTCACAGTCTAATGCTACATGTAACGTGAGGGTTAAATTACACCTGTAAAATCGAGTAACTGATGTTTTGTTTTATTTCAGTGGCGGAGTAAAGAGAAAATGCACTGACTAATGAAATGTGACAAGTAATCCTTAATTTCGTTCGAATCTGAAAAGAACTTACTATAAGACAAAATTCTTATTTTCTGAATCCACACTGCAACCTGAAATCTTTTAACGCTGATTGGAAATATATTATCTACAGACTTTAATAAACAATTTCCGAAAGGAGAACTCACTTAGTATATATGGCGGCAATGATACCAAACAATTTCCACTCAAAACCTATAGAAAAGGAAGATGTTTTTCCTCTCTGAAAATACCAGAATGGTCGGAACCAGATTGTTATTTAGAAGTATTATTGTTTAAAAATGTCATCGTTTCAAATTTTGAACGGGTCAAAACATTTCCACCAAGACTAAGACCTTTTACAGATTTTAACTCATTTCATGTTGAGTCTGGGAGTGGCGACATTCATAGCAGCAATGGTAATTTTTGTTTGAAAAATACAATCATTGGACACCCTTGATAACAGGTATGACTAATGCAACGAAGATGCTCAGTTTTCAAAATTTTGCATTCCTATTAATTAGACATGCAGTCAACAAGGCTTCCTGTGGCTCTTTTTGAATTATTTATTTGGTCAGTGCATTTCCAAATTTCCCAATGCAATGGCGGGATCAACTGCTTAGCAGTCAATACAGGATGCCACTGACTATATCAATAATATATAAATATATGAGAAATATTCATACATAGCGTTTAGAGCAAAGATTTTCGATTACCTGTCAATGAATTTATTTCATTAAAAACTTTTGGCAATGGTTACCTTCAAAATAAATTCTGGTAACAAGATCACCCACAACTTTTCAGTAGTTTTATTGCGCTTGGCTTGTTGCAGTTATTTAGTAAAGGAATTAGATATTGTCATATCAATGGTTAACCCAAAGGATGTCTTGATTTGTATATTTTATTAATTCACCAGCAAAAAAAAAACAGGAAACTTAATTTACTACAAAAGAGGTCGACTTTTTTCTGTTTTGATAAGTTTGAAGTCTTTTAGTTGTTCAAAAAAGGTTAGTATTATGAGAGATTTTTCAGGTTATAACGAACATATATTGGAAAAACCTAAACCAATCTTTCATATAGCCGCATGTTAAATCAACACTGGAGCCCGCCAGTTTAGTACAGACAGTAACGGGTATTAGTATTTCCTGGATGTGCATGTACTATTTGGCGCTGGATAATAAACATTCATTCATTAATGTTTCGTAAACGTAATAAATCATAATAATGAAGCCGACCAATAAGTCAAACTGAAAGTAAAAGATTTTAAAGTTTTAAAATCCGAAATCTGGATTATCATCAGACTGATACTACTATAACACATGCACTATAACACATATGTTATAGTATTCTCAGCATCAAACAACAAACACAAAAACATATAAACCGTTTGATACAATAGCAGGTCTGTAAATATATACATGTAACGAGTCAACACATATCTACTCCGTATTATTCAAACAGATTACAAGTAATTTCTAAATCGATTTATGACATTGATCTTCATATTGTATTTTGGTTTCTGTGGTAACCGTTATTTCCGTTATTGAAAATCTCGTATTTTATACCAATAATCACATAGCCCAATATCAATATTAGATTTCACACGTTCTATTGTAAGTTAGTTAACTTATTAACTTGAAAATGTTTATTAAAACGATATCTTATCAACACTGTAATTTTTGTGATCTGCAAATGCAGATTAAATCTTATAAATTGATATTTTCCCTGAAACTTCGATCACAAGTCAACCAACTATGGCGAGACATTTAACCTGAGAGTCAAAGTTTTCCACTCAAATACTGCGTATTCTGCATATCAAATTCATAAAAGGTTGAAGGTGTCATTGTATTTAATATTCAATTATTGTTTTGATGATATATGACATTATGAAATTAACCATTGTTTTGTGATTATTCTTGTGGTTTTTTTTTGTATAATTATTGTATATAAATGTTGAATATTTAGATACAGATAAAATATATATATATAATTGCGGTTTTTATCCAACGCAATCATAGGTTTGAACGTTGTTTTCAATTTAGACTTGTATATATATATATATATATATATATACAGCGATTATCACAGAATGACTTTCAGGAAAAGGACTTCATGATCGTGACAGAAATTCTTAATCCTTTAAAATAGCAAATTCAAGTTGATTGAAAATTGATGCTACTTCGGCGTTAAAAACTCTGGTTTGAGGGTTCTCATATGAACTGTCTGTTCTATAAAAGACATGTCATGTTAAAGACAGAAAAAAAACCTTACTAGATATCTGTATTATTGTCTGATAAGCTTAGATGCTAATGGAAAAAACATGACTTACCTGCAGCCCACCATTTTTTTACGTCTGACATTGTATTTCTTATCGTGGTTTTGAAATGTTCTACGCTGTACCTGAGATTACTCTCAGGCTGTACCTCAAATCACCGGAGACCTGTGTTTACCTGAGAAAATGATCTGGATCGATCTGCATCGCGACAGTACCACACAACATCAAATCGATATTTGTATCATTACATCAAGTCTATTAACTTTATTTACAGGAGATTTACTTTGAAATTACAGGAAATCGTTACATTAACGTAGCATAATCTTTTGATCTTCTATTCATTAAAATGTGAAGTTATAGACATTACTAATTTAGTCGAAATCAAGTCACAATAAAAAAAAAATGTATAAAGAGTATGTCAAAATTATTTTTTGTTTTATATAGATTTTTGTTCTTACATGATCATTATGATACTCTTCTTCGAATCTTTATTTGTTTGCCACTGCAGGTACTACACGCAAATCTCACACAATGATACCTCGTCCCTTGCAAAGTCCATGATTTGCTAAAGGAAACCCCAAAAATAATTCGGACCAAATGGTGTACAATGGCATTACATGGTAAAAATTCGGAAAAAAAATCATTAAATTATGATAAAGGATTATGGAGGAAAAGCGGATACAAATGTGTCCTCCAGTGTTCAGATATGACGAAGTCCATGTCCATGTCATCGCAAACCCCAAAAATTATTCAGACGAAGAAATGGAATATGGGATGCAAACAAACATCAGGCGAGTAAGATTCTGTGAAAGTGTCGCAAAATTCTGTGAAGCAATTCAGGAGAAGTTGCGGATACAAATTTGGACATAAGGATGAAGGAACTTGGAACCAGTCATGAATAATCATTTTTGCCATAGGGCGCCATGATTGTTATCAGATTAGCAATAAAAATAACGAAAGAACCTTAAGTGAGCAAGCGTACTTACCTTATAACCCCACATAAGAGGAAGATCTTGAAGTGACTTGTTGGCAATGTTTTTTTTTAGTTTACTGTAACAATGATTCTTTTGTTATGATAGAGCAATATTGTTAATGATTAATAGAAAAGTATTTTTACAAGCCCCCTTCCCCCAAAATATTGTTCCCCAATCCAGACTTTTCTGAATATTGAACGCAGAAGAGAATTTGCAGGTTGGAAACCTTCATCCAAATTTGAAAAAAGATCTGATAATAAGTGAAGGTGCTATCCCGGCGACAAGAATTAACATGGGACATTTTACAAGTCCTCCTCCCGAAAAAAAATGGTCTCCTTGCATACATTGGTGATTAGGGAAATAATCCGAGGTTTTGAGGAGTAAAAACATTTGTAATTCGAAGATGATCCGACAAAAAATGAAGGCAATATCTTGCGAAATGTAGCTCATAATTTGACGTAATAACTTATGCAAACTGAAATGCATAGGCATATCAGTTGAAATAAACGTGTAGGCGCGAATAAGGGACTTATAATTTTTTATCTGGGAGGGGGGCTGGTCAAAATGCAGGAGGGATCAAGTTTTTTTCTGTATGTGGACAAGGGGGGTTCAAATTTTTTTATAAATTCAAAGTGGGGGATCAATATTTTTTGCACTTGGAAATAAGTAGTTCACATACTTCAAGAGACAAAATGTCAAGAAGAACATTACAAGAGTCAAATCGAAATATATTTTTAACACCATTCATATACCGGTACAATTAAGTAAGACATCACAAGACTTTGGTGATGTAGGAAGCTTCCATTTTGTGTCATTTTGTCATATAAAAAACGCATAAGTGCTTCATAATCCAAATAAATCAGTTGTTATATTTCACTCACGTCGATCACTAAATTAACAAGCATTATTGCCAATGTAACCTTTTGTTTTCATTACAAGAGCCCTTTGGGTCCATTTATATCTCTCACTCCCTCAAAATTTGTAATTTTTAGGCTAATAAATCAAAAATTTGAGGTTACTGTCACACATTTATGAATGAAATGTGACAATAAATGAGTAACTGAAATATAAAAGTTTAGCGACTCAATGGAGGTTTCAATAAGGCCATACGTAAAACTTAAGTTTAAGCAGCGTTCAAGAGAGGGACATATAAATAATGTGTTGTTACTGTTTCAAAAGGTTTACTTTTTAATGTATATTTTTTACAGAGTTACTCAGAATCAAGTTTTCTTTAATAGCCCAATATAGGAAATTAGAAAAAATGTCAGAAAAAGCTACTAAAAGCCCTGGCTTGCTCTACCTACTAATATTCATGGAAGAGGCCTTATGGAAGAGCCCTATTTCAAGGCAATTTTCCCTCAAATAAGTTTTGGGACTCAATCCACTGAGAATATTTCATTTTCAATATTTCCTTGAAATAACATGATAAGTGATTCGCATGTTAAAATTTTGGCATGTTTAATAGAGGGGGGATCACATTTTTAAATGTTTTTACAGGGGGGATCAAATAAAAATAGTGAAATATTATGGCGGGGGGATCAAGAAATTGTGTATGTATGATTTCAAAATGACCAGCCCCCCCCCCCCCCCCCCCCCCTCTCCCAGGTAAAAAATGATAAGTCCCTAAGAGAATATACAGCAAGGAAAACAAGGAAAACAATGTACGTAGCTGTCGTCTCAAAACAAGATGCAAAACTGCTCAAAATGCTAGAAAAACAAAAATATTAGAGCAATTCAGTAAAACTTTGAGTCCGTGTAAAACTTGTCGTAACATCTAAGTGGTGGAGATGCAATAAAACCGTATCAAGCCAGAAAATGTGGACACAAGTCAGTTGAGGAATGAGATTTTTGTCAAACAATGGAATCTAAAAATTGAGAACGAGACAAACTAAGAAATTTTCATATATACTTGATTTTCAATGAAAGGTTGCCTCATTGTCTATTCAGGTGTCAACAGAATAGGACACACAATGTACACATGCGATATATATGTTGATATAAAACTTAACGTCAATTTAATCTTCATTGACACAAAGAAGAGATGCATGACAATGAAGATAGCGAGACAGGAATGAAATTAGTTAACTTATTACCTCAGACATGTTCATATGATAGAGTCGGTGTCGGAGAAGAAGAAGAAATTGACCGTTTGGTGCAGAAAACATTCGAACTACCTCAAAAGGAATACGAAGAAATTGTTGACACCTAGTTTTGGACAGTTATGACAAACCTGAAGCACAGACTTTGGCTTCCTATAAGATGAAGACAACTTACAGACAAGAGCTGGGAAACAGATATTTAGGGCTAATTACAGAACAAAAGGAGATGAAAAACGAAAGTTTCTACAGGATGAGGTGCTGACCGGATAAAGTTTTTACCTGAAGATGTAGACAAATTGGACCATATTTATTGTTTTGTCAATAAAGCATTTGAACTTAAGAATACGACATCGTTATTTGTAAATCCAGAGTGGAAATTTTTTCTGAAGAACCACCACATCCCTTACTATTGATTTCCAATCGCTACCTGACCCCACTATACACTATTTATTCTTTATGTATAAAATAATCAAAACAACAAACCCTTAGGCAACAGCAACAAAATCATTCAGAAAATAAAATCAGCCCTTTATTAACTTGACCAAAAAAGGTCAAATTAGCACCGTGCCAAAGCAGCTAAATAAAGGAAACAGTAGTATACCGCTGTTCGAAATTCATAAATCGATAGAGAAAAAACAAATCCGGGTTACAAACTAAAACTGAGGGAAACACATCAAATATAAGAGGAGAACAAAGACACAACAGAAACACTAAAATGCAACACACACAAAAACGAACTATAAGATAACAAAAGCCATTTTCCTGACTTGGAACAGGACATTTTAAGAAAAAATGGTGGGTTGAACCTGGTTTTGTGGCTAGCCAAACCTCCTAATAGATGGTAAAACATTATAATCTTATCTCATCCTTATAGTCAGCGGTAGGAATACCAACCAATCGAGCAAAAGTAGCAAAACACCCAAAAGTGAAACGAGCAAGACTGGAGCTGTAAGAGTAGTCAAAAGCCATTATTCTATTACATTACTTACATCCTTCAGCAGCAACAGCAAATTCCCTCAAAAGAACGAAATGAGCATGACGGTAGCAGCCAAAATTCATTTCGAAACAAACTCATGTAAATACTGAGTGCGTAAAGACACCTCCAAAAAAGGGAAAAACAGTTCTCTCACTTTGATAGAATTAAGAAAGCAGACATATAGATATATATAAAAAAAAGGTAGCAAACATTTTTCTCAGAATTTTGCAAATGTAGAAGCAAAACACAGAGCTTTTAAAGAAGCAAAATCTACATATTTTGAGAATAAGATCGAAGAAAATAAAAATAGTCTAAAAGTATTTGGAAGCAGTTAAAAAATTTGGGCTCTACTTCGAAGCAGAAAGAAAAGGACAATATAGTTTTATAGATAGAAAATGAAATAACCATGATCCAAATCATTTTAATATGTTTTCACTAAAGCGGGTGCCTTTCTGGTTTCAAAATTACCATAAGCTCCAAAGGTTTTTGATTATAGTACACACATTTTTAAGAATTTGTGTAGAAAAGTGTGGTAAAGTAATACTTACTTCGAATTAAATCTGATAGTGAAGGAGTTAGAACGATTAAATGCAGGTAAAAGTACCAGTTTAAATGGTATTCCTCCTAGGTTCCTAATAGATGGTAAATATGGTGCATGTATTTAAAAAAAAAAACTGTAACATATTTAGTTAATCTGTCTGTTGCAGTGGTATTGTCCCAGATGACATGAAAATATCTATAAAAAGAACAGACCAGATGTTAGAAACTATAGGCCAGTTTGCATTTTGGTTGTCGTATCCAAAATTCTTGAGAAATCGGTATATTCTCAGTTTGAAAATTATTTAGTTAAACAAAATTTGTTTTATAGATTTCAGTCTGGCTTAAGTTCTCGTATTCTATGGAGACATGTTTAATTCATTTACTTGATCAGATGAAAACAGTCATCAAACCACTGCAAAAAGAATATTTGTAGATGGTCTTGCCATAAGTACTGCAAGATGAATCTTTATAGATGGTCTCGCCATCAGCACCACAAGAGGGATCATTGATAAGGGTATCACCATCATCAACATAGAGGAATCAGTGTACATGGTTTCATTATCTCAAGAAGTGTTCCCCAAAGGGCAATTTAGCGTCATGGTAACGTGATGTTATCTGTAATTATTTTATTATAGATTGTTATGGTTAGGTTTTTTGGTGGGGTCCGTGTTGCTCAGTCTTGTTTTCTATGTTGTGTTTTGTGTACTGTTGTTTGTCTGTTAGGTCTTTTTCTTTTTTAGGCATGGCGTTGTCATTTTATTATCGACTTTGAATGTCCCTTTGGTATTTTTTGCCTCTCTTCTATGAATATCCTATAATTTAAACAAGATTGTATATCAAAATTTATGTTTACCTAGTTGCTATATGAAATTTCTGGGAGGGCACAGAAATATTTGTACAGGGACCAAATCCACAGAGAAATCACTGCACAGTCTCCCTATCAACACCACCAACAATTACCTTTGCTGGTCATGTTGGCCAGATGAAATGGAAATGAGGAATTTATGCTAAGAACCTTCAGAGATAATAATGGAAGTTATTTTTTTCAGCAATATATGCAATCAAATCAAAACCAAATGAACAATATGTGTACAAGGTATCCGAGTTGTCATGCATGTTAAGTTTGAAAAATAAGGTCATTAAGTTTAAAATGAGATAATTAAAAAAATGACTTGTCAGATTAAATAATTGCTTCTGACAGCCAAGGATTTGTACAAATCCTTGTGACAGCTAAGGGTTTTCTCTAGGATCAGAATGCAAAATAAATGGAGAATGTGTCCATGGGACACAGATGATGCTTCCGCTAGCATATAACGTTATAAAAGGACACAACTCAAGAACTGTAAAAGTGATGCTACCTAAATTTGTATTTGATCTGAGTTTTGTGGTAATAAGCATTGTGTATATGTTTCATAACATTTGGTTGAGGCACTCTTAAGTTAGAGAACAGAAACGAAAAATTCAGCAATTTTTCCATTTGTAAAGGGGCATAACTCTAGAACAGTAAAAGTGAGGCCACAATAATTTGAACTTGATCCGTGTTTTCTGGTAATTAGCATTGTGCATAAGTTTCATAACATTTAGTTGAGGCAAACTAAAGTTAGAGAACTGAAACGAAAAATTCAGCCTTTTGTAAAGGGGCATAACTCTAGAACGGTAAAAGTGACGCCACCGAAATTTGAACTGGATCAGTGTTTTGTGGTAAGAAGCATTGTGTATAAGTTTCATAACATTTGGTTGAGGCAAACTAAAGTTAGAGAATGGAAACGAAAATTCAGTAATTTTTCCATTTGTAAAGGGGCATAACTCTAGAACGGTAAAAGTGATGCCACCAAAATTCATACTTGATCTATGTTTTTAATAAGCATTGTGTATAAGTTTCATAACATTTGGTAGAGGCAAACTAAAGTTAGAGAAAGGAAACGAAAAATTCAGTAATTTTTCCATTTGTAAAGGGGCATAACTCTAGAACGATAAAAGTGACCCCACCAAAATTCAAACTTGATCTGTGTTTTGTGGTAATAAGCATTGTGTATAAGTTTCATAACATTTGGTTCAGGCAAACTAAAGTTAGAGAACGTAACGAAAAATTCAGTAATTTTTCCATTTGTAAAGGGGCATAACTCTAGAATGGTAAAAGTGACGCCACCAGCTTTTATAAAGTTTGTTTTTATTATTTTTATTTTATTACAATAAAACATTTATAATAAGTACAAAATTAATATGAACAAAAAATAAAGAAATGTTCACATATGAAGTTTCTGCATAGAAAAAGAAGCAAAATAAGCTATTCAACAAAACTAACTCATTATTGTTTTATAAACTGACTGGTTTAACAAAATATTCAGGAAGACTTGCATAAAAGGCATGGTGATGTATTAATCAATGAATTAAAAATTTTTGTCTTTTTTAAATACATTTTAATCTCAAATTCAGACAACATTCAATATGGTTTTAAATATTTGACCAATGAGTGTCATCTGTACTAAATAGAGGTATATGAGCTGTAAGAATTAATAAGAAGGACTGCTCTTATTTTTTAGAGGAGAAAAAAATTTATAACATTTCATACTTCCTATGAATAAAGTTTTGAAGAAGAAAATCCTCACTCATTTTTTGTTAAAACCTTGTTTTAAAATAGTATTTAGCAAATAACATACACATACAATTGCCCAAGGATATGAAATTACAATTGATCTATAAAATCATGCCAGAGTTGGACTATACATTTGTATATATATGTATACATAACTTGGTGAGAAAGAAGTGTGCAAATTTCATTTATATTGAAGTATATAAACCATAAACACTGGATACCATGAAAAATTGCTATTTTGATTATCATAGACCTATAAGAAAGTAACATCATTTTTTTCTAGGACATTTTTATGTTTTTTATACATACTAATTATTGGAAACACCCATATGCATATCATTTTTACAAATTTCAGTTTGACTAGATAAATATTTTCTTTATGAAAGCTCTTTTTTAGAGCATTTAAAAAAATATGATAAATGTATAACTTTTGATAGTAGACATAACTGTGAAGATATTTTAATGACCAAGTGTGAATTATTACTCTCTTGAACTTTTTGGATTTCGTCAGTTTTGAGGACATTTATCATTTCTGTTATAATAAAATGCTCCGCAGGGCGCAGCTTGATACGACCGCAGAGGTTGAACCCTGAACAGTTGGGGCAAGTATGGACACAACATTCAAGCTTGATACAGCTCTGAATTTGGATTGTGATTAAATATTTGACACAGCATAGGTTTCTGACACAGAATGAATGTGGTCTAAGAACTTAAAAATTTTAAATTGGACATTCACCTTTTATGGTCCAATATCCAAAATCTAAATACATGGTTAGATTCAGCATATTAAAGAACCCCAAGAATTCAATTTTTGATGAAATCAAACAAAGTTTAATTTTGGACCCTTTTGACCTCAATGTGGACAAAGTTGATAACGGGGCCCAAAAATCAAAATCTAAATACATGGTTAGATTCAGCATATCAAAGAACCCCATATATTCAAGTTTAATTTTGGACCCCGATTTGGACCAACTTGAAAACTGGGCCCATAATCAAAAATCTAAATACATGTTTAGATTCAGCATATCAAAGAACCCTAAGAATTCAATTTTTGTTAAAATCAAACAAAGTTTAATTTTGGACCCTTTGGACCTTAATGTAGACCAATTTGAAAACGGAACCAAAAATTAAGAATCTAAATACACGGTTAGATTCGGCATATCAAAGAACCCCAATAATTCAATTTCTGTTGAAATCAAACAAAGTTTAATTTTAGACCCCGATTTGAACCAACTTGAAAACTGGGCCCATAATCAAAAATCTAAATACATGGTTAGATTCAGCATATCAAAGAACCCCATATATTCAATTTTTGTTGAAATCAAACAAAGTTTAATTTTGGACCCCGATTTGGACCAACTTGAAAACTGGGCCCATAATCAAAAATCTAAATACATGGTTAGATTCAGCATATCAAAGAACCCCATATATTCAATTTTTGTTGAAATCAAACAAAGTTTAATTTTGGACCCTTTTGACCTCAATGTGGACAAAGTTGATAACGGGGCCCAAAAATCAAAAATCTAAATACATGGTTAGATTCAGCATATCAAAGAACCCCATATATTCAATTTTTGTTGAAATCAAACAAAGTTTAATTTTGGACCCCGATTTGGACCAACTTGAAAACTGGGCCCATAATCAAAAATCTAAATAAATGGTTAGATTCAGCATATCAAAGAACCCCATATATTCAATTTTTGTTGAAATCAAACAAAGTTTAATTTTGGACCCCGATTTGGACCAACTTGAAAACTGGGCCCATAATCAAAAATCTAAATACATGGTTAGATTCAGCATATCAAAGAACCCCATATATTCAATTTTTGTTGAAATCAAACAAAGTTTAATTTTGGACCCCGATTTGGACCAACTTGAAAACTGGGCCCATAATCAAAAATCTAAATACATGTTTAGATTCAGCATATCAAAGAACCCTAAGAATTCAATTTTTGTTAAAATCAAACAAAGTTTAATTTTGGACCCTTTGGACCTTAATGTAGACCAATTTGAAAACGGAACCAAAAATTAAGAATCTAAATACACGGTTAGATTCGGCATATCAAAGAACCCCAATAATTCAATTTCTGATGAAATCAAACAAATTTTGGACCCTTTGGACCTCAATGTGGACCAATTTAAAAACGGGGCCCAAAATCCAAAAACTTAATACACGGTTAGATTCAGCATATTAAAGAACCCCAAGAATTCAAGAATAAAACCCTATTGAAATTGATCAAGAAATAAGCAATTTATACGAAGTATCTTCTTTTGCACAATACTGTGCAATTGAATATTTCTTGCTATTGCGCAATACTGTACAATTGACAATTTCTTGCTATTGCGCAATATTGTGCTATTGGATATTTCTTGCTATTGCGCAATACTGTGCAATTGGAGATTTCTTGCTATTGTGCAATACTGTGCAATTGAAGATTTCTTGCTATTGTGCAATACTGTGCAATTGAAAATTTCTTGCTATTGCACAATACTTATTATATAATAATTTACACATTCTGTTTGGTGTGTATCTCCTACCATATCATTATTATTTGCTTTTAAATATAAATCAGAAATAACCAACTTAAAATGGAAAATTTTAAAAGAAAAGAAAAGGAAAAAAAGATAAAAAAAAAAAAAAAAAAAAAATCCCCCCCCCCCCAAATTTTTTGAACCCCCTTATGATTCATCACCCCCAAACTCAATCCCAGCCTTCCCTTTGTGGTATGGTACCTTGCAGTACAATTTCAGAGAGATCCATACACTTGAACACAAGTTATTGTCTGGAAACTAGAAAAATGCTTATTTTTGGCCCCTTTTTGGCCCCCAATTCCTAAACCTTTCGGGCAATTACCCCCAAACTCAATTCCAGCTTTCCCTTTGTGATATGGAACCTTGTAGTACAATTTCAGAAATATCCAAACACTTACACACAAGTTATTGTCATGAAACTAGAAAAATGCTTGTTTTTTGCCCCTTTTTTGGCCCCTAATTCCTAAAATTTTGAGGCAATTACCCCCAAAATCAATAACAGCCTTCCCTTTGTGATATGGAACCTTGTGGTACAATGTCAGAGAGATCCATACACTTACACACAAGTTATTGTCTGGAAGTTACAAAAATGCTTATTTTTGGCCCCTTTTTGGCCCCTAATTCCTTAACTGTTGGTACCATAACCCCCAAAATCAATCCCAACCTTCCTTTCGTGGTATAGAACCTTATGGTAAAATTTCATGGAGATCCATTCACTTAAACTAAAGTTAGAGTGCGAAAACCAATGTGTCTTCGGACGACGCCGGACGACGCCAGACGACGACGACGACGACGACGACGACGACGCCAACGTCATACCAATATACGACCAAAAAATTTTTAATTTTTGCGGTCGTATAAAAATGTGGCAACTGTTAAATTTTACTTTAAATTGTAAGAATCAAGTGTACTTTTTTTGTAACTGCTTAAATTCAATTTAAAATTTTTGTCCACAACAACAAAAAAGTGTTCAAAGCAAAAAAGAAACCTAAAAAGCTAAGCAATTTGATTATGTATTTTTTCATTACTGCTACCATCCTCAGCAATATGAGAATTGCATTCTTGGAGGTGTTAGCTCACTCATACAATGATATACATTTACATGATATTTGTACCCATACACTGCAAATTTTATCTTGAAATATCTATTTTGCTGTGCTTGTTAAAACTATACCTATATTCAAATACTAATAGCTAATAAGGATTTATGATGCATTATTTTAAATTTTGGTAATTCACATGTAAAATGCTAATGAATGCCATCCAAGATCAACATTGCAAGCAACAATCTTTGAATTTTGAAAATGAACTTTCCATTAGAGTAATGAGTTGGTCACCAGGAATACCAGAATAAAAATACATGAATACATGAAATAACTTAAAACTTGAAGATATTCAATGTAAGTGAAGATATAAATATATAATAATCAGATATATTTACAATTCCTGCCATTCAATTGTAAGAAATAAAATAAGACATACATATAGTTTATGCAGAGACAATAGTTTTTTTTATTACATGTGAAACCTTTATATTTTTTTTAACATGACATTTGTGTTTTTGCTTATACAAAGCTCAACATAAACTTCTGTTAAATGATCTTCTGACATTCACTTAATTAATTTGAACAAAATAAGAGGAAGCAAAGATGGACATTGATGACCTTTGCAGACTTGATAAGTGTCCCCCTTCCTAACATAATATTGCAAAATCATACACATGTACAAGCTAATTGTAAGGACATTAAATTATCACAAAATGAAGAAAAATCATTGCAAGAGTTTTATAATAAAATTTAAATTTATCAATTTGACATCAACACACTTATTGACTCATGAATGATACAAAACAGGAGAAATTCTGGTTTTTTTTCTAGGCATCCCTCCTTTGAGATGTTCACTCTGACCTGGGCATTAACATGAAATACTCTTGCAAAATTTAACGAATTTTAAGTACATATCTATATTATCTCTATAAACTTCATAGCTGATCTAAAACAATGTCAAAATCTTATTTTGACACAGAATGTTAATAAATACATTAAAACAATACATTTATACAAAATATAAAACAACACATATATCTTTTGATGACAAACATAAAAAAGAATGTTTACATAGCCTTTATAAAGACAGTTTGAAACTTTCTATGAGAGAAATGCAAAATCAGATGTAAACCACTACAAGACTGGTCTAAAGGCTTTTCGTGAAACTACAAGACTGGTCTAAAGGCTTTTCGTGAAACACATAGTGGTATCAAATAATTTTCCAAAGGTTTTGGAATATGTAATTATACAAATGGTTTTGTATTATTTTTAATAGAAATACCAACAATGAAATATTTTTTGAAGTAAAAATTGTAAAGGCAACATTTAAATTATGGGACAATGAAAACTAATTAACCTATGGGTACTAACTTATAAATGTAAAGACATTTTGTGTAATATTTTTGCACAAAAATAGCACTTAATTAATTTCCTATAATAAGACCAACTATTTCATACTTAGTTAGAAACAGAATTATGAACTTAAGTCTCATTGTAATTAAATTTAACAAGCAGTTTATTATGCATATATTACATCACTAATGCATTAAATTATCCTGAACTATGAAAATGGTGCTAGGTTCAGGAATTTCTCTTGAATCTTTATCATAGATTTTAAAACTTACATGACCTAACTAAATGAATTATTCCATGTCAAAAACCATTGAGAACATGGATGAATCAAATCAAAGATAAGATGATTCTGACCATGTATAAATCAATGTCTTTGGCCATCCTTAATACTGTCAACACTATAGAATCCTTACTACTTTCTTGCAGCAAAATTTCAGCACCTTTTGTTATTGTTTCTATGGTTATGTGAGCAATCTAATCCATTTCCAACAAAAACAATACTGTTACCATAGCAACCACTGCCAATGGCTAGTCTCTTCATAGATAAATTATCATTTACTAAAATAGCCTTTTTTTTCTTTCTTGTGTGAGCTGAAATAAAAATTAAAGTAGAATTAAAAATAAGTCTCAAGTACAGTGAGCGTTGCCTGTTCATAGACAGAAGCAATAATTTAAAATAATTTTTTCTTGAAAAGGAATACCCATCTGATCACATTTACTGTTTACTACATGTATTTACAAAGTTTCAACATTTCAATGCCCTCTTGCATTCTGTATTTCTGGCATGCACATGACCATTTTAATATTAAAATGCCTGTAAAATAACATCATTACTGAATTTTGGTTAATTTTCTAAGAATGTTGCTGACATTACTATATTCCAAAGTGCTTTAATACTATACAGATGCAGATAAAAACAAAAAAATAACTTTGGGATATTGAAGGAAATAATCATGCAATGAATTTCCAATGAGGCTCCATCATTACATATCATCAGTTATTTCTAAAGGAAAGAGTGATGACTTTTTTTTCTGAATAGACAAAAAACTACAGCCTGGTATTTGGTAGTTAATGTATCTAATAAACTAGAAACTATTCTCTGTAAGCAGCTATCAACACTATAACAACTTTTATCTTAGTCACCTAGAAAACACCAGTTGAGGTACTTCCCACATTATCAAGGGGTATAACTCCAGAACACAAATATGAACTAGATCTGTGAACAATTCCAAATAATTTGGTCCAAGTTTGCTGAAGTAATTGTCCAGAAACCAAAACTTAAGATATTTTTCTATTCAATAAGGAACATAATTCTTGAAAATCAAATATGCAATTAATCGATCTTAATCTGTGTTTAGTGGTCCCTAACATTTCATATTTCAAATGATTTGGTGGTGACTTACTCAAGTTATCATCTGGAACTCTAGAAACTAATGTGAAATCTGTCAAATTTGAACTGGTTCTGACTTAAGTGGTCTATAACAATATCACCAAATTTTAAATTATTTGGTGGAGGCTTACTCAAGTAATTGAAACCAAAAATTGGCTATGTCAAGGGGTATATTTCTGGAAAGACAAAAATGAAATGGGTCAAATAGAACAGGATCTGTGCTTATGGCTCATAACATTTCTAAATTCAAATGATTTGAAGAAGGCTTACTCAAGTTAGCATTCCAATACCAATTTCGGGCGTACACGTGTACAGGAGTAAAAATATATGCCCCTGTTACCTCTTGACAGGGACACACAGAATTACAAGTCAATATAAATAATTGCCTCTGAAAGCCAAGTTTTCATTCTAATCCATATAACATGTGGTAGTTTTAAAAGCGACCTTCTAGACATCAATTCTGCCACATTTTGGTTGAATTTTCCTCTGTAGATTGAAGTTGATACATGAAAAAATGACAGAGAGGTATTCTCAAAGTAGAGTACTTCTACTTCTTATTCGTGGTTTGATCGCTAAAGATACAGTGACAGTTTTGGAAGTAAAATTCATTCACTATTATTACAAAAAACAACAAACAAAATTCATCTATACAGCTTTTATAAAGTGTTTTTTATTATTTTTGTATTTTATTACAGTAATACATTTATTAATAAGTACAAAATTAATATGAACAAAAAAATAAAGAAATGGTCACATATGAAGATTCTGCATAGAAATCAAAGCAAAATAAGCAACTTAAAAAACTAATTCATTATCATTTTAAGCTGACTGGTTTAACAATATATTCGTAAAGACTTGCATAAAAAGGCAGGGTGATGTATTTTGTCAATAAATCTAAAAATTTGTCTGGTTTATTATCAAATATATTATAAATCTATTCATGGCACTATTCAATGTGGTTTACCTTATCTTATGAGTGTCAAATGTATTCTTTAAAGAATTTTGACCAGTAATGAACTGTTTCATAATCTTTAATTTTATTTTTAGAAAGAAGAAATAATTAATAACATTTCAAAATTTATATGAACTAAGTATTGATGAAGAAAAATTCTTACAGAAATTTTCCAAATACTTTTTTTAAAATAGTATTTCTATTTAGGAAATGTATTAAAAAAATAACATATAATTTTAGTGACCCTGCATATGAAATCACATTTGATCTCTTTACTCAAATATGATAAATAAAAATACATATGCCCCAGTTGGACTATATTTTTTGTACACATACAGTACTTGGTAACAATTAAGTAGAAACCTGAAAATTTCTTAAGTTGATATTCATTCTAAAGTGAAATATATAAACCATATATATAAGCAAACACTGGCTACCCTTAAAAATTTGCTACTTTGAATACAATATACCATATAAGAGAGTAATACTATTTTGTCTGGAAAGTTTTACTGTGCTTTTGATGCATAATAGTTATAGGAAATATTGGCATTTAAATAACACATATACATATTATTTTTGCTACAAAGTACAATTTGACTAGACAAATATAAATGTTTTAATGAAGAATTCTCAACGACATTTCAATACATACGAGTAATGGAGAACTTTTGATTGAAGACATACACATGAAGATTTTTTGTTGACCAGGTACTTTTAATTTTCCTCTGATATTTGGATTTCATCAATTTTAAGGATATTTAGAATTTCTTGTATTAAAATGTGTCAATTTATAAGTTTTACTATGCATCGAAGGAATTAATCAAATGAAGTTACAAGATAACAGGTAAATATCAATTATCCCAAAGATACTTTATATGACTGCTTAAATCAATTCCAAAGGTAAATAATTTTTTGCAAATATCATGTTTTCACCTTTAACAAATAAACAAATCTAAAACCATAAAAGAGTGCTCAAAGCAGAAACAAATAAGGCAAGCAATTTAACTATGTAATTTTTCATAACTGCCACTATCCTCAGTAATAAAACAAATGCATCCATGGAGAAGTACAATGATATCCATTTTACATGATATTGGGACCCATACAATTGAAATATCCTGAAATATCTCCTTTGCCATGCAGGCAAAACTATACTTTTATTCCAATACATGTACTGGTAGCTAATTTGAATTTATATTGCAATTTTTTCCTTTCAACTTTAGTAATTCACATGTAAAATGATGATAGCCACCAAAGAGCAATATTGCAACAAATATCTTCAAATTTTTAAAATGAGCTTTTCATTTAGAGTAATGAGATGGTCACCAATACCAAAATATAAAAAATATATGGAATAATCCAAAACTTAAAGATATTCAATGTAAATGAAGATATAAATAAATGATAAATAATAATAATATATTTACAATTCCCGCCATTCATTTGTAGGGCATAAAATAGACCTACATGTAGTAAATTTAGGCATGATATCATCTTAGTATATGCATAAATAAATTGTGACCTCTTTTGAAAAACCTTAAACAAAAAGCTTGTCATGTTGCTTTTTTTTAAAATTGTTTTAACAAGATATCTGTGTTTTTGCTATTACATATTATGAAAAGCAGTTAGTAAATTCTAAAAAACAAAAATGTATTTTTCTCCCCTCCCATTCCCTCAGTTATTTTAACCATTAGATAGAAAGCATTAAAGAATGTCATTGAACTTTTCAGACTTGATAAGGGTCCTCTTTCCCAAAAATAACATTGCAAAATCAAACACAAGTTACTTTTTTACATTAAATTATCACACCATGGAAAAATCATGTCAAGATCCTTATAATAACATTTAATATACATTTCTTTGACTTCAAGAAAAACATCAAAATATTACAGATCCCGGACAGGAGAAATCCAAGTTGTTAACAATTTTGTAAGGACCCCTTTTTAGAATCTTTCTACCGGCCCTGGGCATTTAGCAAACGATACTCTACAAAATTAAATGACATTAAAGTACAAATCATTATCATCTTTAAATTTCATAGCTGATCTAAAACAATGTCAAAATCTTATTTTGACACAGAATGTTAATAAATACATTAAAAACAATACATTTATACAAAATATAAAACAACACATATATCTTTTGATGACAAACATAAAAAGAACTTCCACATGGCCTTCTGTAAAAACACTTTGAAACTTTTTAACTTTTTATGAAGGAAACACAAAATGAGATTTAATCCACTACAAGACTGCTCTAAATGCTTTTTATGAAACACAAAGTGGTATTAAACAAAATTCAAAAGGTTCTGGAATATGTCTTTTAAATTAAGGTTTTGAATTGTATTACATAAAATACAAACAAGGAAATGTGTTTTGAGGTAACAAATTGTTAAGGCAGCATTTAAAATTATGGGACAATGAAAATTAATAAACATATAGGCACCAAATTATAAATGTAAAGACATTTGGCGAATTTTTTTTACACAAAAATAGCACTAAATTCATATTCTATAGTTAGCACAACAAATCCATATTCATTTTAAAACAGAACTTAAGAAGTTTCATTGTAATCAAATTTAACAAGAATTTTATTATGCTTATATAACATCACTTGTTGCTCCTTTCTGAATCCTATTTGTGAATGTGAAAATATATTGTAATTTGTATAATTCATAATAATATATTGTTTACACTAACATCATTAATGCATACAAGTATCTTTCTACTGTGAAAATGGTGCTAGGTTTAGGAATTGCTCTGAATCTTCATCATAGCTTTTAAACCTTGTCCAATATAATTAAATATTCCATGCCTAACACCAAGGTTTGAAAACATGGATGAATCAACTAAAATACAAGATGATTCTGACCATGTATAAATCAATGTCTTTGGCCATCCTTAATACTGTCATCACTATAGAATCCTTACTACTTTCTTGCAGCACCTTATGTTATTGTTTCTATGGTAATGTGAGCAATCTATTTCATTTCCAAAAAAACAATACTGTTACTATAGCAAACCCTGCCAATGGTTAGTCTCTTCATAGATAAATTGTCATTTACTAAAATAGCCTTTTCTTTTCTTTTTTGTGTGAACTGAAATCAATTTAAGTAAAAATTAGTCTGTTGTAAAGTGATCAATGCCTGTTTAAAGAAGACTGTACCTGTAAAATTTAATCAATTTTTTTCAACTAGAATAAGGCAGTAGAACATTTACAACAATGCCATATTCTTTACCTTTTGGTAAATAGCATACACCAATTGTAAGTATGTCTCGCAGTGACATAGCCTTTTTGAGCTTATGTAATGTAAAGCAAACACCAATCAATCAATCAAATGTGTCTGTAAACACTTTTTTTTTTTTAAATTTTGTAGCATTTCAATTGAAACCATTTGAGGACACAGATCAAAAGTAATTGTTTTACCAAAATAATTAGGCCAATCAGAGCAAAATTGTAGTCAGTAGCAGTAAACTTCCTGAACTTCATACATGTATATCTTTTACCATGTTTGCATTAAAGTTTTCAAGACTATAAGCATGTGTATAAAATTCAATTAATTACTCAAAATACAAAAATTTAGTTGTTTTAGATTATTTTTGTCATTGGGTTGCTGTCTCATTAATGCATTCCCCACATTTCCTTTTATACATAAAATATAGGCAAACATATCTCTGTACTTTCAGCAATTCAATTCTTGCCTTATCCCTGTATATAATTAAATACAATACTAAATCAATGTATGCATGCACTCTAAAACATTAACCCATCTTAGTATACTGTTATATGTACTCCAGAATAAATGGCTTTTAATTGTATCATGTTAAGTAGTAGTAAAATATATAAACATCATTAATTAAAAATATCTATTTAAAGATTAAAAATAACAGTACTGCAAATCAATTATTGTTAAATGTTTTTATTTTTATAGAAAAATTGTCACTCTGGCAACAAAATAAGTTCCCTATACATGTTTAAAAGTGGAGTAAAACGAAAATCAATTACCAATTGTGAAAGAATTAAGTTATATGTGGTGTGTTCGCCTCTAGTTTAGAAATGAGAATTTAAGATTTTGTAGTTTTCAGTTGTTCTGCAGTAATACACGAAAACAACATCATGTATAATTTCTGGATTTTTTGGATGTCTTATAGTAAATACAGAAATAACTCCACCCCCTCCTCCTATTTTTCATGTGTTTTTAAATTTTTTTAACGATTTTAACAGTCAGATTTTCTAATAATAAAACTTGGTTAAATACTGGAAAAAATGCCAAAATTATTTATTTGTTAAAATTTTACACTTGATACTACATTGTTATTTTGCTGCTTTTTCTCTTAAGATTTTGAACTATATTCAGGCAATACATATTTAATCAAGCTTGAGTAAACATTAAGATTGATTTCTGTCAGTGTAAGATTTATCCTTTGCCATGTGTGGTGGAATATGTACAAGCAGGAGGTGCCATATATAATTTTGTGATAATCTGATTACAATCATTTTTAACTAGTGGTTCATTTGCTGTTTTACTGATGACTAAAGAAAATAATGGTTTGTCCTCTTTGTGTGTCAATATTTTACAAAGGAGCATACAAAAGGTAAATATTGTTTGAATGAAAATGTTATAAACTTTGTAATAAAATACCCCAAATTTACTCTATTTTTATAGAAAATAAACTGTTGACACAGAGATATGTCTCACCTGTATGAATTTTTAACAATGAAACTAAAATAGCAATACTTAAAAATGTAAACTATGCAAAACAATCCATGTCAATGAACAATGACTGAAGGTGCAGGGCAAATAAACTCAGTGGGAGTGAGAACTGCCAATGCAAATACAACTGTGTACTAAAAACCATTAACTTATCATACATGGATCTCCTCAAACTGAACTAAACACAAACCTTACGATGTAAACTTTGCAAAATTTTCAACTAATTAACCATGACTGAAGGGTTGAACAATATGATCTCCATGGAAATGAGACATGCAAATGCTAATACAACTGCATACTATTGACTTAACATAAGTGGTTCATCTTAACCCATTCGCCGATGAATCCCGGTTTACTGGGATTCATGCTTCAGACAGCTGACGATGAGTCCCGGTTTCGGAATAGCTCACTTTATATTTCCCGCTGAAAAACATTGCGAACACAAGTTATCTTTCTTTGTTTAATGCCCACATGAAAGTGTAAACATGGCGCTTACGTTTGTTGAAAACCGGGTCAAAATCAAATGAAATTTACGGATTTTACTGAAATTTTAAATAAGGGAACATTTTTTTTTAAGAATTTTGAAGAATAGAAGCCAGATTAGTATACTTTTTTAACATAAAATACCGTTTTAAAACACTTGGAATTGACATCGTTCAGTGTAAGGAATGTTTACAACCTTGTTAAAATTTTCAAACTTATGCCGTTTTGGGTTAAAAACTTACAATTTTGGGTCAAAAAGTTGAATTTTCGTTAATTTCATCTATTTTAATGCCGAAAAATAGCAAATTTGATTTTTTCTGATAATTTTTTTTATCAAAACATAAACAAAACTGTGTCCATGGTGTAAGTGAATAAAATAAAGACATAAATAACTACAGACAAGTTTTTATTGATATTTAATATGAAGATATCCCACTTGTGTCACAATAGCCAGGGAAGCCATCGTCTCAGAGTAGCATCTATTAGGGCGGCTATCGGTGAAAGGGTTAAATTGGCCTGCTGACCTTATCACAAAATTTAAAATGTAAACTAAACAAATGTTTTGAAGTCAATACACTATTACTGCAGGGGTGGGCCAAATATTCTAAATGAAAATGAGATTTGCAATTACTAATTCAACTTCGTACCAAATAACATTGACCTAACACTAGTGGTTCCTCTTAACCTGAACACTCATCACAAACTTATACATTGTTGCTACCCCAACCAGTAACAGCACACCTTAGTCTCACCTCCGTGGGTTCCTCTAGGTGAGACAAAAAATAAAAATTGAATTATATAATTATTTTAATTTTTAATTAAGAAATCAAGAGGCTTAAAGGAGGTTGTATCCCTCACCTTGATCCTATACAGTCAAACCTTGTCGTGTTGAAAACTCTGATAAGTTGAGGTTTATTGTCAGTCCCAGAGAAATCCCTGATTGCAAAATTCATTTCTTACTCTGATGAGCAGAATTTTGTTGATTTGAAATCTCGGTTAACGAGTAAATTCAAAGTCCAGTTGAAGGAAAATGAACAAAAATTATTTCGAAGAACAAGAAATTTTGAAGGGTATGAAAATATAAGTTCGAAATATTGTGCATCAGAACAAATTTCCTTAAAACACAAGTACAATCAATTTGTTTGTATAACAATCAGAATGGTAATACTCACTGTTTGTCAACACCTCTGATGATCAACACTACAGAAATTTTTTTTTGTGGAACACTACTTACCTGAGATAATTACAGCACAAATTAAGACCGTAGCCGAGAAAATCCATTGAAGATGTAAGCGTTATCAAAATCCTAATTAACTGATAAAAGTTGTGACTTGTGTAATACGATTCAGACTTGATCTCACAAGATAGTGGCAAAGGAGAAAGTTGAATACATATATCTCCAATGAACAGTTTTGTTTCAATAGTACTTCCATATTTTATAGTGACTAATCTTTGTAAACATCAGATGTGTCCTGTTTACCGTTTAGTGTTTATGAAATAAATTTTCTTTCTAACACTTTCAATGCAGATAGGTTAGAATATTTAAAGTATTTCTTCAACCTTAACGTATAAGGAACAATATTGAAATGAGAAAACTTGATGTATCTCACAACCTCAAATGACTTGAAACTTGGATAAGTTGAATAATTATTTTGGGTCCCTTTGACTTCGACTTATTGAGGTTCCACTGTAATGCAAAATGTGATTTCCCCCCTAAAAATCCTAAGCAACAAATACTCCTCTTCATAGTTTTTATGCTTTTTTCTCTTCAAATTTGAGTTTGTTTTACTGGAATTTTCAATTATGACAGCAATCTTATACAGCAGATCTGTAAGGATGACAAAACTTTGAAAAGGGATAATCCAAGTACCATAATAAAAGCTTAATCATGACTTCCCAAAAGTTTTCAGGAGATGATTTTTTATGTCTGATTATATAGATATAAGAAGATGTGGTATGAGTGCCAATGAGACAACTCTCCATCCAAGTCAAAATTTCTAATTTGCATAAGTTTGTGATACATTAAATTTAAGACATAATTTTCACCCAATTTTGTTTTGTTTTTCTTTTTTGAATGCCACAATTCAGTATGGAAATTGCTTAAATATAATTTCCCCAAAAGATTGGAATTTTTTTAATATGTTTTTTATGTTAAATTATGTCGATTGGTTAATCCAAAATGGCCCACTGGTTTCAGCAAAGGTTTCCAAAAAATATACAACACTTAAATGACAGCAAGTGAAGGTAGTGTCTATTACGCTGAAATAGTAAGTGTCTCATAACATAGAATATGTTTGCAAGAGAAGCAGTAGTGATTTATATATCTATATATATTTTGATTGGCAGGTACTAGCAATGACCTACATTTCTATACATATATGAGCTTTCAAAGATAAAAACTAACCTTGCCAAAATATAGCCACTATGTGCAACAGTGGCATTAAGCTCATATTACAAAAGATATTGTAACAATGGGCTGTATCTGTATCTAATAAAGCACTCTAGCTTAGGTTATCAAACTAAGTTTTGAATTTGTTATACTGAATTTTGTAATGAAATAATTATGTAATATGAAATAAATTGTAAATTTAACTGCCAAGGATTATTTTCTACCTTGTGAGGCTCATGCGTATTAGCTTACTTTGCTGAATATAAAAGCTACCAAACAAAAGTCCAATTATATATGTCTTCATATAATAAGATATTACAGATTATCTGAGTAAACCTAATTTGTATCCTACCTTGGAGAGTTTTTGATAAAACTGTAAGATAGGAATACATGTAATTGGCTAGAACAAGAGAATAATTCAGAGCATATTAGAAAAAAACAGGCTCAACACTTCAAACTTGCAATGTCTACCTGTTGACTACTCGTTTTCCAGTAGTTGAAGACATGTTTGAATCATGTGACCTGAAATAATTGTCAGAAATCTTCACTTTTCACACTTGCATTCATTTAAAGGTGGGTTTACATGGTACGAATATCCATCTGATTATTATTCAATTTTTCAACTGTGATGTCATTTCGACATGAATTGCAGCGTGTGAACATTACAATCAGATGTCGTTTCATTAATCCAAAGGAAAATTGTATCATGTGAACAGATTACTAGAGGACTTACCTGGGCGACGGTATCAAATCAGATGGAAAATCGTAGTGTGTAAACACACCTTCAGTTTTGCATATCATTAACTAAAGAATGTTTCTATGAAATTTCCTGAGCTCGTTTGATTGTAATTTATGCATATTACACTGATAAATTAATAAAAGAACGTTTCATTTTATTTAACCATAGAAACTTCAAAACTTTTTTGCAATAAATGTGCATAAAAGAGTATGCTAGACAAATCCTGTTAATAATACCAGAAGGAAGCAAAGCATGCTTAATGAAATCTTCCCAAAGTTAAAAGAAAAGGCCTAAACTATTACACAGAACTATATAAAAAAAAAATCTAAATTTAAACTGTTGAAACTTACTCTTTAATATTTTCATTTGATCCTGAAATTCCCATTGCTTCTTCCCAAGCTTTCTTCTCTTTTTGAAATTGTGCCCATTTATCATCCATTTCTTTCTGTTGTTGGTCTAAACTTTTCTTTGTATGTTCTGATCTTCTTTGCAACTAAAACAATATATTTTATCAAAATACAATGAAAAGTATATTTCTAACATTTTACATGTGTATAAGACAACATTCATATCTATAAGTCTAAATTGATATGACTTTACTACAAGTGCCTTGATGCATGGTAAGCATTATAACCCTCTCATAACTCTCAAATTTTCAGGTGACCTATGTTTGTGTTTTATTTCCTAATTCCAGAAGTGTGTTTTCTTTCTCTCAACTATTCAAATGAACTTTTCCAGTTATTTTACAGGTGTTCCCCCAAAATCTATTGAAGATAAAGTTCAAATTGTAAATAGGCAAATATTTCCCTTACTAAACTGCATGGGTGAAATAAGATAAAGTGTCTATTTTGTTTTTTTATAAAAAAGCTCCCCACACCATCATTGTTTTTGAAAAGTTATAGGGGAAAACATTTTCTAAAATCTTGAAATCTGTGAATTTCAGGAAAACGTGAACACATACAATTGTCAACACCTTAACTGAATCCTATCAAATACACTAATTAATTATGTAACTTTCAGTCTTATTTCCGTGTTTACATAAATTTCCAACAATAAAAGGTACTTCAAACAATAATTCATCTTACATCTGCTTCTGATTCTTTAAGCTTTTGTTCTTTTTCTTTGACTTTAGTTTCGAAAACATGTTCCATTTCAGCCTCCATCTTCTTCATCTTAATATCATGGTCTCGTTTCTCCTCAGCCATTTGAGTTAATGGATCTCTGTAAAATCAACCAATGATACTGTTACTTCTACAGAAATGATGTCTATCATTATCCAACAAAACTCTGACAACAGAGTGTATGGCTTCATTTTGCTGCCATCAGCAAATGAGATAAACAGGATATTGAAGGAGGATACAACTTCCTTAAAACTTGAAAATTACAGTATGTCAAGAAACAATACTTTAATCACTTGTTTTCTTATCTTGTTTAATGTCCAGTAGCAAATATTTCATGCAGATTCAAGAGAATACTTAACTGAAGTGGATTTCTTTTACACAGAAAAAGGTAATTGATTTAATCACTTTCTTGTACATCAACAAAGGTAGTGGACTTTTAATTGTAAAGATCACTTCAGTTTACCACCACTACCGTAATTTCCACTAAGGGAATTGTATATTTAATCTACTAGTCAGTGTATTTCAACTACTTACATTCACTGAAACCAGAGAAGTTTCAATTTGCCACTATGAGTGGCTGTGAAATATTATGTAGTAAAAGTTTTAAATGAAAACAGGGTCTCCAAAATTGCTTCTATGGATGGTGGTTACTCTATTTTCGTCCATGTATGTTTTAATGGAACAGCCCTCAACTGAAAATGCTAAAACTGACTGCCATAAAATGAACAGAAAGCAGCAGTAATTACAACCATACAAATATAGATTCTCGTTAAATTATACTGATGTCATATTGAGTTAGCCCTCCACTTGTTTAATATATAGTCATTTATACACAGTAACTGATTTAGCTTTATATTATGTCACATTAAGGTCAGATCTTGTATATTGTGACTTACTTTGATAATGATCCTGGTTTAATTTTATTTCCATCAACTGAAGTAGGAGCTAGTTTGTTGTATCTAAAGTTCTCATAATGTACATTGTTTGTTACATCTTTAAGGTCTTGCATATGTTTTCTGAAATATTAAAAAGATTTTCGTAAATACAAAATATTATAAAATGTCAGCAAGGACAGTTCTATTGATGAAATTAAATTATATTTTTTGACAAATTTATCAAATTGTCCAGTTCAGGGCTTCCAAATAATATTTGAGCCAGCCGGACATTTTATGTCTTATCCCGATTTTAATCCCTTAAGACTTAATAACAAAAGGCAATTATGGACCATGGTAATCAGTTGGCCATCATATAACCAATGATTGGCATTAAAAAAACGATATTAAACTTTACTTTGATATAAACTCGATGTTCTGACGTAAACTGTTAAATTGACAGTTGTGCAACATCAGCGTACTTATATATGCCTTAGACTCTTTATTTGTGCAAAATAACGTTGTCAAAAAACTTTACTTTCGTTTTTAAAAAGCACATTTCCTTATACCGGATGTTGACTTGACAATGGTAAAACATGGACCAGAGACAAATACGTAAAATCTGTGTACGTTTACAAAGCACGATAAAGTTTAAGTAGCACTTTCCACGTTATTTCTTCAAGAAAATACTCATGGTGAACATTAGATAAAGGTATCAATGATAATTTTATAATTTTTAAAGAATTAGGATGCATAATTAAATTTCCCACCTGCGCACATGCGCAATCGTGTACTAGTTCAAACAAAGTGGTTCTGACGATTTTTCGTTTAAAACCTTTTTTAAATTTTTCATCAAATCATATTCATAAACTTATTTCTGACAATTTTAATCTTTCTGACTAAATTAATTAGATGCAAACCAGTTTTTTTTAATTACGTTAAAATGACCTTGAAAACTAAAAGTAGATGACCGTTTCATGCTTTTCCCAGACGGACAATGTCCGGCAAATTTATAAATGTCCGGAATATATGACCGTTTTGGAAGCCATGGTTCAGTTTGCCCATTAAAATGAAACATGAAATTACTATTATTACTTCTCAATCCAAATGAATTACCCTTCTTGTTATGTCATTTTTATTTTCAAGTGTTCAATAACATCCATTTAGGTATGATGTTTTTAAGGATATAAGCAGCAGAAATTTAAATTATTGTTGTTTTTTTTGAAGAGAGAATGTATATTACATAAAAAATATCGATAGTTCTGTGCTCGTGCTTTTAAAATAACATAGAAAAATGTAGGAATGTCATTACCTTTTACATTGATTGGTACCTTTTCAAATTGTAGGGGGTAACTTTGAATACATTCTATTAATACTTTATACAAAATTTTCATAATCTAGGTGGTCATAATCAGCAGTGTAAATAATTAATAGAACCAGGTACCTTCCCTACATGAAATTCCAATTGTTTCTAAGATACTTGCCTGATTAGCATATTCCGTAATGCGATGAAGTCATTATGTTCTAAGTTTTCCACTGAAAAGTAAATACAACATTAATGTAGACTAATTAGTACTGATCATCATGTCATTGAAAGTTTGCCTAAAAAAAAACCTCAATATTTCTATTAACTATAACTGTAATCTGCTAATGTTACCAATCTATGCGTCCATTAATCCTTCTTTGCGTAGATCTTCTTTTGTAAGTATTTACATATCTTATTAGCTTTTAAAAAAGTTATGTGTAATTTTCTTTTTAGGTTCCAAAATATGTGTAATTTAGACCGGTTTTCAAGGACCACAGGGTTCACCTTGAAGAAACTGCTATACCAAAATATTTTGTTGCAATTCAGACCTCTAATGATACAAATCTTTTGGTCCTGAAGGAAATTTTTCTGACAAAAAAAAAAACCTTTTGAGTTAAAGATCATAGTCCTCTATTATACATACCTTCTACAATACCCCATGGATACTGTCGACCTCTGACCTTTTTTCCACCTGATTCTATTACTCTGTTGCTGCCTATAACTGCAAAAGGCACTCGGTCCTGAAAAAATAAATAAATACAGAACTAGTAACAAACAAATGATTTCAAATATAGTCTTGCTCTTTCTGCTTTCTGATTTTTTTTAACATCAGTCATTGTAAAATGATTCATTAAATACAATGCTTTTGTATTGCGACTTATTTCCGGCATTTCCATTTTTTTAGCATGTTGACCATTTTGTTTCCTTGTAAAGGATAGTGCATCTTACTTCATGATATTATTGTCATTATATCTAATTTCTAGTTCTATACTTACCCTCATTTTTTTCTGTAGTTTGTTTTCCTCTTCATCATCACATTCAGGAAATTCATAAATCTTTATCTTGTGTTGAGCAATTTCATTCAATATCTATGAAAAGACAGATAATCATTGAAAAAAACTGATGCACCAATACTGTAAATTCAGAAATTATTGTGGCAATCATTATTGCGATTCTTGAAGATAGGACAAAAATGCCAGGTTAAGTATTGCAATTTCAGGAAAAGTTACATACAGATATATGTTTCACATATCTGAATGCGAGTTCTTTTTCTTGCGATACTCACCCAATCGCATTATTAGCATTAATGAAAACCTCACAAAGATTTCTGAATTTACAGCATTTCTTAATTTTCACTGTATCTTTATTTATCTCCGGAGAGCCATCCATTCTAAATCAACATTTACTGTGGGTTCAGTTCTCAAATTTTTTGTTTCTATAGTTTAAGAAAGTTTGCTGTATTTATTTTGGGGATACTTATTTTCTCACTTTAACAAGTACAATGAAAATAGTGAAATGAGAGCACTACAAAAAAAAATCATATATCTAAAATTATGAATAGATGTTCGGCAAGGAAATATTCTTAACAAATGAGTAATGCATTCTTAAACTTCTTGAATGATATATTTATGATGCTATGTTTGCTATATGAACTCATATGAGGCAGGTGTTACCTGTGAAAGAGGACAAGATATGAATAGTTTTATTTTCATTGTGTTGTTGTCTTTAATCTTTTTGGTAATCAGATATACAAATTTGTGGGACATCTAACTTACAACAGGCAGCCTCTGCCAACTGAACAGGAACAGGGTAATGCGCAAGTTAATGAATTTGAGTTCATTAGTATATTGATTTTTTGTTTTATTGACTTAATCCTCATATTATTTAGATGGCTTACAGTTTTCTTGAATTCTCGACACTCATCAGGAGTTAATGTGTCTGCCTTGGCTATGATGGGGATGATATTGACTTTATCATGAAGGCGTTTCATGAATTCTACATCTAATGGTTTTAATCTGAAAAGAAAATGTGGAAAATTATTTTTAAAAATACTTTATGAAACATTTCAGGAGAAATATAAGCAAAATACTACAAATTTGTTTTGAATCAAAATTTTCCTTTCCCCTATCATATCCAAAATAGTCATGATAGTTTCTCTTTTGTGTATTTTTTACAGAAAATCAGATATTCAATGAAAATGAGATTTTCACATCTAAACATGTCTTAAATCCTGATACCAGTTTAATAACTTTGAATTTGAATATGTTCCATTATATACACTTTTGACAAGATATGTCTTTACCAAATACTCTCTGAAAGGTCCCAGAGGTTAATGTCTACCTGTGCAGATACTGCAAACTTTCACAATTGCTATTAGTTTTAATTTTACTCTTATAATTTGCAAATTGGAAAAGCAGACTTATTACACTTGTATTCTTCATAACTAAATAAAATGCTTTATTAAATTTACTCATTTGAGGTCTGAAATTTAATAAGAATTTTCAACAATGTCTTCACTTTCTCGTTTAACAGTAATCAGTGTAATAAATCATGCTTATATGTTGTATGATACATACCCGTGACCTGTAGGTGCAATGAAGTAACAACACACATGAACTCGAGTATCAGCATTTGTGATTCTGTTGACTCGTGATTCTGCATTCAAATATTCATCATATTTGCTATCTATATAGTCTATTACTGGCTGCCAACTGCAAGAAGAGTCTTATATTATTAAACAGTTAAAAAAAAGAAATATGTTTATCTAAATTAGGAGAAATCCCCCTTTCTAGTTAAGTAATTATAAGTACTTGTCCATCACTGCAGACTGTATAGACTATAGTGTCTCTTGACATTAACACCTTTCTTGTCTTATTTAGACCTGTCCCCTACTCTTAACATTATATTCATGTGTTAGGACCTCTAAGAAGCATGGTAATTATTGTGTACACCAAAGAAGGAAAATTCTTCTATAAAATAAATAATTTTAAATGCAATAGGTAGTTAGGAAGTGGGTAGCATAAAGAAATGCCCTTGCCCATATGTACTGTGAAAGTGATTTTCTGATCTAATGGGCAGTCAATTCCTTCTTCGTACTTTGATTCTTTATTATACAAACTGAGCATGGGAAATCATTAATTTTTAATGAGAAGTACTTTTAACATGGCATTGCATGCAACTCCTTGTTTACTCTTCTCAAACAAAATGTCTTTAATCTTTCTTTTCTACATAAATATAGTGTTTGATTATTACTCAATGTGTACATGTAATTATTTCTCATAAGAATATACTTCACAACGGTTTATCTGTATTCCAATGACTAATTGGTAATCCTTTCTGACATTATAATGCTTTAAAAAACAGTTAACTCTTATTTTCTTCATATGAAATAGTTCTATTCTTTATCTGTAAAATATTGCACAACTTGCATTGTATCATGGATACAAGATAGTGTAGAAACTAGAAAGATATCTTAATTTTCACACACCAGCCTGATGCCAGAAACAGTCACATGATCTTAAATGCAGCAGGGGTTCATCACATGATACTACATGCAGCAGAGGTTATCTCCCTTATCTCACAATGATAAATTGTGTTATACATTTATATCTCTGTTGAAGCAATTAGAACATTCTTCTGAGTTGTAAAGATAGGTACAAAATCTGTTTTGCAGAGAAACATTCAGGTTACAATTCAACCATTTTGTTTGTTTATTTTTCTTAAACAGGAACAACTAATTTGCAGGATTCTACTTCTCCTTTAACAGTAATGATTTAAACAGTTAACAGCAATGATATTACTTTGAACTTTGTATCAAAGTCATAATGCTATGTTCTTCCAAGTGCTCAATGAGCAATATGCTGGGTTTTAAGCAATCTATTAGATTCTTTATTCTTTCATAAAACATCATTTTATAATTATTTCTGTCAGCTTTCCAAGATGTTGTTTTTATAAAAAAAAAAAAAGATAGTTCAACAGAAACCACAAAAATTATTATTATTGCAAGGTAAATGTTATCTGAAGTACTGTGGATTCATTTATTTTCGTGCATTCCAATTTTCATGGATTGAGGAAAAAATGTTTATTAGTGGATATTTGATTTTGTTGATTTGCAAAAGTCTGAATACAAGAGTGAAGAAAATTTATACTTTGCTAAACATTTAAACTCATGGTTGACCTATACCCACATAATCGACGAAAATTGGTACCCATATATAATAAGAAATCCACTGTGCAAGAGGATACCTACCAGTTACTATTATCCACAGCATCACCAAAACCTGGTGTGTCTACTGTCGTTAACTTTAACTGTACACCATTTTCTTTTAGTACTACTTGTGTTGTATCCACCTAAAACCATAAACAACAATTATTTAATGTTCCACAGGTTTCATACAACAAGACTAAAAAAGAAATAGATACATATTTTTTTCTATCTGGTGAGTATTACTATTTCAACCAGTAATAATAAAGCTAGACATAAAGATTTTTAAGCAGTTGTCATGGAAACATCATTCTTAAACTTTAGCATTTCACTGGCTTCTTAAAACATTTGACTTTATTAATGATTGTTAATCAATAATTTCTCACTTTTCATCCTTATTTTAGACCTCTAACTGACCTTCCAGATAGCATACTTTTTGAGCTAAATCATAATGTTTAATTTGGTCCCACAATCCCTTCTGCCATTATTTTCTCTAAACACATCTGATTAGACCATTGGACTTACTATAAATTTTCAGTTGATTTGCTTTTTTATTTATCAATGTTGTTATTACATTTTTTCTGAAATTTTATATTAAAAAATGTCATTTACGACCTTCATCAGACTTATTCATGTTTATGTATTGCCTTTGGTAATTTCTAGTTTTTTTCTGTTAACTTCTGTACTTCATATTAATAACTTTCTGTTTAAATGAACAACATACACCTGTTCTGTGACTTGTAACCATGTCAAATATGCTAATGTACTTTTAAGATAATAAATATTTCATTCATACCTTAAAAAGGCATTATCATGATTAATGAAACAATTTTAACACATTATAAATATTTGTACATGCAAGACAAATGTAAATATTGACATAAATGTACTTTTGGACGAGAATAAAGAAAACTTTCACTGTGTGTTAATACATTAATATTCAAAGACTATTCCTTTAAACAATAAATAGAGAATGTGTCCATGTGACACAGATGATGCCCCCACCTTGTACATAACATTAAAAAGAGACATAACTCTAGAAAGGTAAAAGTGACAAAACCCAAATTAGAAATTGATCTGTGTTTTGTGGTAATAAGCATTGTGTATAAGTTTCATAACATATGGTTGAGGCAAACTAAAGTTAAAGAACGGAAACGAATTTTGGGATGTATAGATGGACAGACATACAGACAGACAAGGGTAAAACTTAATTCCCCCTCCACTGCGGTGGGGACTTTAAAAAGTCTGAACAGTCTTGTGGTAGTGTGCTTGCTATGTGTCCACATAACATGTCCTCCCGTGGACCTTGTCAACTAACACATTAATGACTCAGCAAGTCGGTCATGTACCAGTGTGTGAGTGGTGTTTTTGTATTTCAAACAAACCTTTAATTTATTATGCATTAGAGAAACAATTTTAACATGTTATTAATATTTTTACATGTAAAGCAAATGGTAATATTGACATGTACCGGTATGTACTTTTGGATAAGAACAAAGAACATTTTAGTATAGTAACTGAACCATCTTAACCTACAACAAAATATCATGCCTACATTTTATCATTTTTACATGTATAAAATATCAGGATATAAATAAAACCCGGAAATCAGGTACAAATTATACATATTCCCAAAAAATTGTTTTATCATCTGCAGGAAACTATTGTTCTGTCATCAAGAATCACTGGAACATGGAAAAAGTGAACCAATTCAGTGTGGACTTTAAGAAAAATAGAGAAATTATGATAGACTATTATTACTATACCATAACAAAATAATTTCGTCTATGGATAATGTTTTGATATTTGTTTATACCTTAACAGTTTTTTGTATTCTGTGTGATGGTCCTGGATAATCACTACTATATAAGTCAGACAAAAATAATGAATTAATCAGTGTTGATTTTCCAAGCCCTGATTCACCTGAAACAGAAAAAGATAAAGATAATTTCATGGAAGTTTAATTCATATACAAGTGAAATCTTACATTTATTCCATTTTGTCGTCCATAATAAAGACTTAAAATTAGACTGATCACCAAATTTGTACTTACTATCAGCAACATAAAGGTTGTCACAGAACAGAATTTGTTTACCCTTCCAAATCATCTGAGATCCCCCAGTGTTTTCATGGGGTTCTTGTTGATCAGTGTTGAGTTTTCTATTCAGTGTTTTGTAGCCTGTTGCTTGTCGTTTCGTCAGTGTTGTTCTTTGACTTATGAATTTTTATTGTCTTTTAGGTATCTTCAGCCTCTTGTTTTTTTACAGTGGTCATAATTCTGCTGTTTCATGCCTTCTATTCTATCAATTTTTTATTTCTCAATAATTTAAAACCTTTTGAAAACTTTATATTCGTTTATTTCTCAAACATTTTTTAAGGCAGCTTTTGAGTATTTATAAGAACATGCATTTTATTACAGAGAAAAATACTACGAAACTTGAAACGTTTCAGTACATGTTTACAACATACTATCTTTCACTTCATTTTATTGAAGCCATTGTATATACATGTATATGAGAAAGCTGTTTTACATAAATATCCTTGTTGAGCTATAAGTCAAACACTTGTGGCTAGACTGGAGTGGTTCGTGAGTATTCTGACCACTCCTGGTGAAGGATACTACAGATAGTATAGATTTAAATATTTGTTGTGTAGTATTTTAAGAGTTTTTAAATATATATTTTCATTTACTGTCATCAAACCATCAGAATGTTCACTATGTTTCCTAATACTGTGTAACCCCTCTGGTTTTTCCTTAGCAATGCATTAAAATTTGTCTAGAAACCTCTAGATTTCTAAATAATTATTAACATACTGGGAATTTATTTATTTTTCGTAGATTGAGTAAAACTTTTTCTTGGATATTTGATTTGTGGTTTTGGCATAGTCTGCCAAAAGCCTATAAAAAATGTGTACTATGTAGACCATTCAAATTCCTGATTAACCTAAATTTGACCTATATCCACAAAATCCACAAAATTGGTATCCCACAATTAATAATGAATCCACAGCACATCTGACAAAAAGGTTTAACTTCTTTATTTGTACAGTGTTTTCAAACACTCATTTGTGAGTTTTTTCAACAAAACAACAACATTGTTGAATATGCTAATGCTTCAGTACAACTATCCAGAGTCTATCCCACCCATAAGTTACCAGTATTTGATCTTACTCTTACATAGCTGTATGCTTGCTACAAGCATGGCAAATGTGAATTGAGAGTGTTTGCTTTGACCCAGAAGGGGATCAATCTTACACTTAAATCAAGCATGATCTCCCAGAGATTGTTTTGCAGTTATTGAAAATTTTTATTAAGCCGAATGACTAATCATAATATCAATTCATATCAGTTTATTATTTAGTACTGGTAGCAACTTCCTTGCCAGACCATTTTATTTTTTCCTTATTGCTTTTCTCCCTAAATCAATAACTGTGTCATTTTCAATCATGTGTTATGTCTGTTTAAAGAAGCTAATTCTGTTTATATTGGATTTTCCATAAATACAATAATTTTCTATTTCTAAATTATCTCTTCCTGCAATTTATCCATTACTCTTAGATAACCCAGAGATCCATTTTTAAAGGAAGTAAAAAAATACCTGGTCTATCAATTTATTATAAAATTCATTTTTAATCAAGCAAATACTTTTTGAAATTTATTGTTTAATCCACATTATAGTTAAAGTCAATATGTACTATTCTACAGATATTCCGTAAAGTTCAAGTTGGGAGAGAAATGTGAAAATGGCAGTGTCAACACATGAACAGTCTGTCTCTATGATATATTTTACCAACACAATTAATGGTGTTTCATGCATCAGTATCAATAAAAACTGTCCAGAAAACCTGTATCTAGATTACAATGTAAAGTGATATACTTAAAATAAATGTGCAACTGTCCAAAACTTGAAACAGATGTCCAACTGTCCAAATCTGGCCTAAAACTTGAATCAAATGTAAAACTGTCCTAAGCTTGAATGAAATGTAACAACTGTCCAAAACTTGAATCAAAAGTACAACTGTCTAAAACTTGAAACAAATATACATCTGTCCAAAACTCGAATCAAATGTACAAATGTCCAAAACTTGAATCAAAAGTACAACTGTCTAAAACTTGAAACAAATATACATCTGTCCTAAACTTGAATCAATTGTACAAATGTCCAAAACTTGAAACAAATGTACAATTGTACAAATCATAAACAGAACCAGACTAAACTGATCAACTTCGACTAACATCTAAAATTTTAAAACAAATTTAAAAAACTCCTTATGAAATCACCGTACAGATGCTTAGTTATTCTTGACTGACTTTTAACATGTGATTTCCATCCCACCCCCTTTTCATCTTTAAAAGAGTACCTTGTACATCAAATTAAGTCCCATTCCTTCCCCTTTCTTATCTTATACCCTAACCAAAATATCACACTTTTCGTTACATAGAAAAAACAAAGGATCACATAAATTTTCTTCATCTTATTTTCTCTTACTATTTTGCAAAACTTTAATGAATTGCAACAGAGTAGTTTTGAGCATTTAAGATGTTGACTTCCAAAAACAAGTTCATTTATAAATAGCAATTTTCAAGAAAATATAAGTTAATTATATAAATCAAATAGCCAATTGTTTAAGAAGAGAGCAATCAGGTTTTTACATCAAGGAAGGTACTAATGAGGTTTTTCATCAAAGGACCAATAAGTTATTACATAATTACATTCCAGTATGCTTGTGATGTATAAGTAATATAAACATAGGTTAGCCAGGCACACTTTTACTATTGTACAATATAAACAATTTATATATTAGAACAACACCTGGGGGATAAAACTGGTCAATATATCCTTGTAATTATATACTCCATTCCCCATTAGAAATACAAACTGTCCTGTGTGTAGATGATCTCTACATGTGATATTAAATTGTACATTGAATTTAAAATACTCTGTACTTAAAATTTAACTTTGAAGTTTTCTTGTACAAAGTTATGTTTTTCATGTAAATATGGTGCAAACAATAAGATTAGGTAAGAGATGATAAGCGGCTCATTTTTAATTTTTTTTTTACAGCTGAGATGATAACCTTTCAATCATCCCATGAAGCAGATAGTACTGGTAATTAAGAAAATAAAACAAGCATTCTGAGAGTATTGCATGCAATACATGCTCTATGGTCGGGTTGTTGTCTCTTTGACACATTCCCCATTTCCATTCTCAATTTTATAGTCCCCTACCTGTTAAAAATTAATTGTACTGAAACAAAATGCTAACTTGATCTATGGTGTTAACTATATAACAAATATCAAGTCAATATCTTCAAGCATGATGAAAAAAAGTGTGGAAAACTGATTATTTAAGTGAATTTTCTAAGTCCAAGGACCATAACTCTGCACAAAATCATCAGACCGGAACAAAATTCAAACTTGGTCTGTAAGTTGTCATGATAAAACTATATACCCATTATCAAATCAATATCTTCAAGCATGACGAAAAAAAGTGTGGAAAACTGATTTGCCGGACTGACGGATGGACAGACGGAGTACAAACCTAAAGTCCCCTTTGACTTTGTTGGTAGGGGATTAAAAAAAACCTAGACAAAATTCTCCCTACACTAGCATCTTAACTGATCATTCCTTAAGTTTATGGCCCTGGGTATAGAAGTTATGAAAATCCAATGCCCTGTGTAGGGTGAGTGCACTCTCTCTGAACACCAAATTACTTTTACAAAAACCCTGAGAGGTCTGTAAGAAGCATGTTGCAAGGTTATAGAAAATAGAAAAATGTGTTTGGTTCAAGTTACATAATAACCAAGATCTTGTCAAATAAAGGATCATTTACTAACTTTGGAATCGAGGAGGTTATACGAGTACAAGTACATATGGTAGGTTTAAAATAACATTGATAACCATCCGGGCTGTTCTATAAAGTAATAAGACATGTGAGGACAACATGTACTCTTCAACATTAGACAGGTGGTCCATACAATATGTCAATGTCGAGGTCATCCATGTTGTGGCTAAAATAAACAGAAACTATGAAAGATCTGTCAAAAAAACCAAATTTTCCAAATAACAAAAAATATCTGTTTGATTGAATCTGAAACCAACCGTGCACACTTGAGATACATACACTTAAACCATTATGTTTACTCTCACTTAAATGAACATAAATTGTTTATATCAAATTAACTACATAAACTCTCACATATGAAGACTTTGCTACCATAAACTTTGTGTTTGACAAAAACAACAAAGTATGTATATAGATTGTCGACACTAAAGACTGGGTCTGGTATACTCCACCACTAAAACACAGAACCAACACGTTTGAGACGGAAGCAAATGTGTTCAGACATGAGACTGTTTCAACACTAGAATGGTAGAACCATTAACACTTGAGATGGGCACCTTTTTCATTTAAATCATTACAACACAAAGGTTGTTATGAAGAGGAATTGCAATGAAAATCATAACCTTCTAATTTAGTTTTTATTTTAGTCTTTCAAATCTTTTTTAGTTTTTGAACAAAACATAAATTTTATACCGGTAATCAAATACTTTCTTTGGGAAAGCAAATGCACAACTGTGTAATTCAAGTTAAAAGAAATTATTGAATTATGTGAAAAAGACAAGATTTGCGTAAATACTGATGAAATTATATAATTATATAAAACATCTGGTTGGCAGCTGGTTCAAACATAGTACTGTTCATCAAGTAAATTATCTTCATTGGAAGAATGTTCTCAATCAGAACCAAATTCAATAACACATCATCAATTATATTAGAATTTTGGCACTGCAAAAAACAGTGAAATTATACTTGACTACAATTAATTCGAAGTTTTTTAGACAATTTTTTTTGGAAGTTAGCTGAGGGTATCAATAGATGCTAATTTGTTATAATTAGGAAGTAGCCATTCAGTGATGGACACTTACAGCCGAAATTTTTTTACCAACATGAGATGAAAAGATGGTTGATTTCCATCAATATTATTCAATTCTAGGTAGCTGTCCGAAACAGCTAGGCCCCTCACTTGCTTTGCTAAGAGACATAATCTGTCCACTGACAAAATTTCATTACCGGTACTCTATGAACTTGCCTTGACATTTGCTTTCTTAACCTAAACCAGACCATTCATAAAATGTAAATCAAGGTGACCTCATTTTTGTATTATGCCTTCATTACTCACCAAACTTCATTTCCATACTACTAATATTACTAACAACTTAACTCTCATTAGCACCATGATATATACTAATATTGTAAGTTATTATTATGCAAAAACTTGTTCAAAATCATTCATGCATTTAATATAGGTCAGAAATGGTTTAAGTATGGAAGTAATATCGAATGTCAATAAAATACTTCCATGGTTTGAGCCATCAGTTGGATTCAGGTCTGAGACCAAGAGTTTCCAGAGAGGACACGCAACATGACTGAATTATACATTAAGGAATGCCTCAGCATCTGATCTTGTTTAACAAGGTTAAAATCCTGTATCAGAGTAACCTAATTATCAACAGACACTAGTTGTGTTATCCAAGATCTAGACATGTTCATTGATAAAAAACAACCAAAAAAAACCCTTCCTTTAGACCTATACCAAAACACAGGCAATACAAATTTCTTTTTCAATAAATGACCTTCAATCTTCGTAACTGAGGAGTAATTTCAGACAGAAATATTTTCCTATCTGCTTAAAAAAGTAATCAAGATGTATTTAAATTGTATCTGTATTTGGAATTAAGTAACAGTTTGGTTATAAACAAATTGTATGTACTATGTAAACTACTTATCCAGTTAAGTTATGGGTTCAATATTTACTTTATATTAAGTGACAAGTGGATAAGGTCAAGTTTTAAACTTTTTATTACATTTAATCCTAATTCAAGTTTCAATGTACATTTTAACTCAACATCCGCAAAAATGAAAAATAAAGGACTTTTAAAAGTAAGAGGATACCAAGAGGGCTATAAAAATCATGAAGAAGGAAATGATATAGCCAAAATGACAAAAAATGTACATTTGGTCTTTAGCGAGTTTGATTTCTGATCCTCTTGTATATGATTTCCAATGCTGTTCCTGTAGCTAATATCTTTAACTTAGGCATCATGCAATGATGACTTCTTACTCAATATTTAAGAAAGTAGCTAAAATCGTTTCTCTAAAATAACGCTTCAGCATACTTATCCATACATGTGATTAATTGCAGAATAATTCATTTCACAACAAAAATGAATGTGTGCCCATAAGAGACCATGCCATGCTCAAACTATAATATTTAAAGGTTCAATGAACCACAAAATCTGGGTTAAGGTACTAATTTGGCCTATCAAATAAAAATCACATCACACTGAGCATGTGTACTAGGTTTCAAGTTGATTTATCGACATATTCATGGTCAACTTCCTTAAACCAAAACTTAAACATAACTTCAATTGAATTTTAACATTATAAGTGAACTGCAAAATCTGTGTCAGTCTTAATTCGGTCATTAAAAAGTTCACATCATAATGAACATGTTTACTAAGTTTCAATGGTTGTTACCACACCTTCATATTTATATTAACTAAAACTTTATCCTGAATAAAATTGGGACAGACTAAACGTACAAAACAGACAGATGCATGGTTTGTTAATTTTTAACCTCCTTGTAGGGAAATTCATAGTCCATTTGTATTCATGAATTCATTACTTGCAAATAGCTCATTGGAAAAGTGCACTTTGAAATAAAATTACAAATTAAAGCCATGTTACAAATTTTGAGGCATAAAATCGTTTTGTTGAAGAACCTCTCCCCATGTTAAATCTGCAGCCAATTTATAAGTTTATAAGTTATTCCTTATTAACAGGAAGAAAATAAAGCACCTACTTCCTGTGTCCGTAAGTATAACCCGTTTGAAGTTTATAATTAACATATTAATACCATACATGGTTATATTACAACTTTAATTTCCCTATTCCCAAACATTTCTATCAACCTGTCTATAAAATAAATGACAATTGTAATATTTGTTTTAATTATGGTCATAGTAAATGATGGGAATAAACCAGGACATGGTGGGAATAAACCAGGACAGAAAGTCCAAGGGAAAATTTACAAAAATCTGATTGTTAAATGTAGGAGAATTGTTATTGATCTGACCTCAAAAGTTTACATTGACCTCAATATGTAACATACAAAAAACAAACAATGATACATGAACTAAATACACTCTGTCAACATTCCAAGTTCATTATATCACTATACATGTTACTGAACCAAAAAACGTTCAAAACATGAATATATTTTCATTAAAACAATAATGCTGAAAATTTCTAACTAATAAGCCTTTACGGATTTTCATTAACAAGTGGGTCTGGAGTCAAATTCGACTTTGATGATGGTTAAGAAAAACTTATTACTCCAATTATATAAATGAACTGTATAAAATTTCAAATGAATTTTTGGATGAAAATATACTCCTTACAGTTGTAAATAGTAATGAAGCATGTATTTATACACAGGTCTTACATTACATGGTTGCTGATTTGCATTGGTTTGCAGTACAGCTATCTCAAAGTTTTTTTAACCTCTCTTTTTTTTTAAAAGAAATTAAGTTGTACATATGAAATTTCTGTACAATTTCCGGGGTAAATTATGCTTAACTTGTACCCTTATTCATTCTTTGGTTTCTCTTAACAAAAAGTGTACAAACAAATGGTCAGTTGTGTATTAGTCTAGACCAATTCTGGACATAATACAATTAGGTTTGGTCATTAGGTGTAAATAATGGCCATAGGCTTTTATCTATTGGTCACTTGCACTTAACATTTTTATTAACTGATGATAACAGACAATTTGACAAGATAGATATATCTGTGAGCCTAAGGCTCAAGCTGATCAATATATAATGTCAAAAATCACTTTCTACAAAATGGAAAAGCATACCATCAATAGCTGAAGGGGGATTTCCTCACAAATTGTGTGAAAAGACATAACAAACTTTGTTGTATATTTTTTAAGGACTCAATGATCTTTATATTGTATATAACAGTAATATATAATACTAAAAGCAACTTCACATTTTGTGTTTTTCTTTTTCTATGATAAATGTTATTCAATTTTTTTCTCTCTCTCTTTCAGCATGAAATGAACTCAACTTGTTATTTTAAAGATTCTGTCTCCGTCTTTTCCCCCTTTTTTTAATTGGCATATTACCTTACGCAACCATCTTTCACAAAAAATTACATTTAATAAAATACTTACCAACTACCATTAGTGTGAATTCAAATCCTTTTTTAACAGATTTTCTATAAACTTGGTTCGGTAAATTAGCAAATCCAACATATCCTTCCAATTCTTTAGATCCTGTATCTCCTCCTCCGTGTTTTCTGTCTTTATGGTGTTCTTTCTCTCTATCATCATCTTTTGAAGCTACTGGTTCTCTAGTTCTTTCCTCACGTCTTTCACGATCTGCTGCAAATCGTGCTGCTGGATCAAATTTTGGTGCATCTTTGAAAAATGCTTCCCGCTTAGCGTTTAACTACAAAACAACAATAAAATAAATAAAAATCTTGAAAAAACAGACCAAAATGAAAACAATAATTTGGTATTATATATTATTCACAGAGTGACGGAAAGTTTAACACGACATTTTACAAGTAAAATAATCTCATGGTAAACCAAAATTTTAGTTAAGGAAACTGGTATACCGTGATCTTGAGAAAACCAATTTGTTGTGATTGAGCTCGCCTGATGAAAGTCAGTATACATATGTAATTGTGTAAATTATATGTAACTAGACTTTTTTTTAGGGTGATACATATTCATTTTTTTGGCTGCTTTTTTTTTTTTTGTGAAAAATCTCATTGAATCAATTTAGTGAATCAAGTAGATGCTGTGAAATCTGGACTGTTGTATGCTACTGCAGTTTAAAAGCTGTCCAAGACTCCAAGGTAAGGGGACGGTTTGGCACCAGCAAACAAATTCATGGTTTTCTGGTTTGCATTGTTTTACATTTGTCATGTCTGGGTCTTTTATAGCTTGTTATGCAGTATGGGTTTTCTCATTGTTGAGGGATGTACAATAACCTATATATGCTAACTTCGTAACTTCATTTGGTGACTAGTTTCTGGTGTAAAGTTGTCTTTAACAGTGGTTCCCAAGGCTTTGAGAAATCAACGGGACATTTGGTCCGGTAAAACATTCTTCTTAACTGGACCAGACACTTTTATACAGGACATTTACACATATTATTTGGACAAAATTAAAAATTTTACTGGTCATTTGGTCCAGTAATGCAATTATCACTTAACTGGACCAAACCAATTTTAACTGGTCTTTGCCCAATGTCTGGCGACTTTGGAAATGACTGGTGTTATTGGCAATCATACAACATCTTCTTATTTTTATATGTAAAACACATTTGTTTCCTTGCATGTTCTATTGAAGAAACTAAAATAGAATTCAGATATATATTTCAGGTGTGGTATATGTTAAATCCCCCATCCATCCAACTAATTTTAAACCACCTGTAATTGTCTGAAAACTTCAAACATAATAATTCATGCATACACAGGATTGTTACATGTATGAATGAAGCCAAGACTAAATGGTATTATATCAAAATTGCAAAAAGAGTATGGAGGACACACAATATGAAAAGTGTGAAATTGCACCAAAATTAACCTGAGTCAAATTTAGTTATTTTATGAAAAGGAGACATTTAAAACCCTAGCCTTTGGTGACTGTTTGTGTATATATATATTGTAAAAAATATCCTGCAGGATAAAAAAAAGTTCTAGCTTGTAATTTATTGAAACTATTTATCCTGGCAATATGCACACATTCGGTATGTATGCGTTTCACACCTTTGCAAAATGCATTGTTTTTAGCTTGAAAACTGTACAGAATAATATACAACATGTGGATAGACAGGAGTTCAACTTTTTCATCACAAGGGGATAAAAAAAATACCACAAACATCTCTCCACTACTAATAGCAGTGACGCTAGGGGGAATTACAATGCACTTCAATCAGTCTGTTCATGAGGAGCCTCTTCTAACACTTCGTTACCCCTGTTATATATAGAAATACTTCTGATTCATGTTTGATAGGAATATCTATAGATCTCAGACTACATCCATTGCATCTACATTATAAAGGGAATATCTATCTATTAATTAACTCCAAGACAATATCAGTCTAGAAATATCTGTACTGTTATACATCTGGTGATGTACAGTGATTCCAAAATTCTCACCAGACATTGGAGATACACATATAGGCTCAAATAATTACTCAGCCTTTATGGTTTACTTGAAATAACCTTGTCTACTGGATTTAAATGTAAATTTATTTTTTTGTGGACATTGGTCTAGTACTGAACCAATTTTTTTTACCTTGTTTCACAAAATGTTGTACCACTTGTCCCACTTATGACTAGTCATGAAACCAATAATCAGTGGTCGTAAATCATAAGATGTTTTTTCAACCCAGGACTGACCTTTAAAATGACTGTCTTGTATACCCTTTTGTAATTTGTTGTTAAATTTTGCTTCTGTAACCATCATTTTCAACAGTTCAAGCAACTATTTTTTTGACATGTTAGGAAAAATATTTGACAGTGTCATGTGACTGGTGTTCACCATTTAGGAAAAGAAATTTAATTCTGCCCAAGTTTTGAACACAATGCCCTATATAAGTAAAGGATAAGGAAGTTCTATGGTATCATGTAGCCAAGAATTTTTTTTAAAATTCCATTCATGTTAATCATATTTCATATCTTAGGATTGTTGGCTAATGAAACCAGAAGTTTTTCAAAAGTAACACAAAAGGAACCTTGTTCAACATTTTCCGAATTTATTCTGTATACTTCAAGTTTAGATGTGTATCAGGGATCTACTACAACACAGTTACCTTGTCTTCATATCAGATGTATGTGCAAATAAACTGAGAAAAAGGTCAAAGTTTATGATGTTGACTTATGCATTAAAAGAATCTCTATTCATATTGTAATAAATTACACCTATAGCACTTTTGATAAGGTGTACAGAAATACATCATCCTTTGTAAACATCTTAGTTGGCAAAGAATAAAGATATAGGTCATGGTGACCTGTTTTGAGCAGTACAAAGGTATGGAGACTTGCTTGTAAAATAGGGTTATACCTGAATGTCATCACTTTTCAAGGGTCCAGGGAAATACACAAGAGCATTATATATTAGTTCAACAGAATTTTATCATTGGAAATAGCGTCTTCAATGACCTAGGCCAAAGTACTCCACCATTCAATCTGTGTAAAATCTGGCAGATGGTCATTGCCTGACTACAGAAGAATGTTGATTACATTCTGACCACAATACAACATTTATTTAATAAGTTACTACATTCATAGATTGTACAATTAAACTGATCATTCGTGATCTTGTGGGGCTATAATGGATTTTACTGAATACCACCATCAAAGACATGATTATGACTTAAGAATCCTCTCTCAATAAATTCAAACATGTATAAAATGTCAAGTTGACCTGCGTTATAACAAACTATAACAAAACATAATCATTTTTCACAAGGTTAAGGAGGGTAACTATCACTTATTTTCAGTTTCTTAAAATTTGCAAAATCCATCACCTGTCACCTGAATAATACAGAAAAAGGAGTTCCTATATTCCCTCACTTTACATTATAATTATTTAAAAGTATTTGAGAAAACTTGTGTTTTTTATAAACTAGGGTCAATAATGATCCAGCTGTTAAGAAGTATCATATGTTTTCATATTCAAGACAAATTGTTCACCTCTGTGTAAGGTCAACCAACCCTATTCATCATATGACATATATTTCTGAAGAGAACATAGCTGAGTTATAATATGTATACAAGTAGAAGATTTAGACCTACAAAACACATCAATAAATTTACATTCCAAACATAAATTTTACACCTTTATAAGACATGGGGCACCTGTTTAATGAGAGGTATGGCTCTTGACTGATGTGTAGAATATAACTTCTCTTATGACACAAAGTACACTATTGCCATAAAATAGGGGAGTGACCCATGGATTTCGTATGTTAATAAAAACAAACTATTAAAGAAAATTTGTATATTTTTAAAAGTCTGAAAAATTTACATAAATTACTTTTTGTATTTTAAATGCTGGAATTCTGGCAAAATGACCTAATTAATGAGTTATTAAATGATTTAATCTTACCTGAGTTGTCATATTGTACTATACATCCGATCTCATACAAAATATAAAACTGATTAAACGACCTTCACCCTCTCCTTTACACAAAATGATTCACCAACTTTACTCTTCATTCATAGTACTCCTTGGCACACTAAACCCAGGAAAAATATAAAATTGATCAGGAAATAATCAAGTCTAGTCAACCCTAATATGGATGCTAAAACTGAGTCAGCTAGGAATGGAAAGTATTGATGTTCTGTCAGAATTCAACACCTTCATTCAATATCTCAAGGCTAATTGTTCCATAGAAAAATGACTTAATTTTCAATAGACAGGATCAATGTAACATGAATCCTAAGGGGTTTTGCTCATTCAGGCAAATAATCATTAAATTATATCCACTTTCTGGCTGTAAATACAAATTACTACAACCAATCTATTACACAAATGTAGCAAGATAAAATAAACCTTTCACCATTGTTCACAGCCAATAATAACATTGTATGGGTAAATGGTTGGTACAAAGAAACAGAATAAATATAACTGACTAATGAGAATCCCATATGTTCATGTGTGATGTAAAAAAATGCATCTACAAGTCCAATAGCATTTTCAAGGCATTCAAAATAAATATACATATATATATATTTCATAATTTGTCAGGTGCAGATCCAGGATTTTTGAAAGGGGGCAAAATTGGATAAAAGCGAATAAAAACATTCGAGCGGAGCAAGGTAAAACAATTTTTGAACAATTTTATAAAATTTATATATTTTCCTATCAAAGGGGGCCAGTGCCCTCTACTATTCCACCTGGAATTTGCCACTGTTTATACATTTCAATTTCACTTTGATTATATTACAGTGTACTGAAGTTCATAAAATCTTTTTTCAAGTATTTTCAAATCAAACAACAGGACTCATGCATATCTTTCTTTAGGGGAGGTCCTTCATTCAGGACATCATATTTTTGTTTTATTGTGGGCCTCAGCTATCATGCATGTCATCAATTTTTAGTAGTGGAAGCCCGTCTTAAATTTCAGACCAGTTCTCAAATCACAACCTTTTGAAAGAAGAATCTCTTTTTCTCTCACAATGTAAATAGTATCATACAAGGAAAAATGTTTATTCTTTGTTATAGCTTAAAGCTAGTACCCGTGACTCCATGAGGGACTTGAGGGTGTTAGTCCAATTGGGTGTCTCTCGTTTACACCCAAGATATTATGGTTCATGCAAAAGGATAGATTTCAATAATTTAGGAGAGGGGTCTTTCACAATTTGATCTTATTTTATGGTAAAGCATGATAATTGCAACATATCCAATTACAGTTAATGACATCTTGGTGTA